TCTGGAGACAAGGTCTTGCTATGTAGACCTTGTAGCCTGTAGATTCAGGCTGTCTTGGAACCAGAGATCCCCCTGCCTCTGCTTTTGAGTGTTGAGATCAAAGGTTCTCGCCACCATGTTTGACTTTACCTTTAAGGAGAAATCAGATCACCCCCCCTGAAAACCCTTCCTGGCATCTCACACAGCACAGAAGCCTGGGGCCTCTTGCGCTACGAGGGTGTCCTCTCACCCTGAGTCAAGCACGCTCTTCTGCTCACTCTGTTCCTGGAAACCCCTTTCTTACTGCTCCAGGCACTTGCCAAGCGCACTCAGGCCTTCAGGACCTATGGGTGTTCTTCTCTCTCCTTGCTATGCTCCTCCACTGTGTGCAGGAGTAACCCATAGTCTTTCCTAAGTCACCGTAACTACAACGGCAGACACACTTGTCCCTCAGCTCTAGTCTGCCTTGTTTTCGTCCACATTATTGTTTATTTATTTAATTTTGAGACCAGGTCTCACTATGTAGTCCTGGCTAGCCCAAAACTAACCATGTAGACCAGGCTGGTCTCAAACTCAGAGATCTGTCTGTCTCTGCCTGCCAACTGCTAGAATTAAAGGTGAGCACCACCATGCTTGACTTGGTCCACACTACTTTTTCCTTGTGGCTTTTCAAGACAGGGTTTCTCTGTGTAGCCCTGGCTGTCCTGGGAATTTCTCTGTTAAACAGGCAAAGCAAAGTTTGGCCACATTACTTAATAGTAGAGGATATATCATGAATTTTATAATTGTTTTTTTTTTCCTTTTTTCTTTTTTGTGGAGAGAGGGTGCTGAAGCAGGGTCTCATGTAGCTAAGGCTAGTCTCAAATCTGCTCTGTAAGTGATGATGACCTTGAACTGCCCCTTCTGTCTCTACCTCCCAAGTGCTGAGATTATAGGTATGTGGACCATCCCCAGATGTCTGTGTGAATATTCTGAGTGCAGGGACTTTATGGACTGCTGTATATTTCTATCTAGACTAACATATGGTACCCAGGGGGTGATGACCAGATATCTAAGGAACGCACGCATAAACACAGCTCAATGTACGGAACCTGACTTCCAATCCGGCTCTGCATAACCAAAGCCTCACCTGCAGTCACCTGACTGGGGAGGGGGGTCCACCAATTAACCTGGGCTCTGTGCTACCACCCACTCCTGTACCACACAGGCTGGGGGTCAAATCCAGGGCTTCATGCACGACAGGTGAGCTCTCTACCGACGGAGCACAGCCCTGCCCCCAAACTCCTCACAACTGTGCTGACTGCTCTCCTAAAGAACACTGGCCTAGCGAGGGGCACGCCAACCTGCACGAGGGAACCCGACAGCTAGACACCAGGCTGGTTCTGGACCACTCACCGTGTACATGGGACTGTTGGAAGCTCTTCCCTGGGGCAAAGTGGAAGTTTCCAGCCACCTGTAGGGACATGTCCTCTCACTCTCCACTTCAGCTGTGGAGTCCTCCCAGCCTGGCTTGGTCCAGCCACCTCGCCTTTTTCCCTCCTGGTACCTTGTTGACTTCCAAGAAGCCATACACCTGGCAGCCTTCATTCTTCTGCTCCTGCATCTTCTGGCTGAAGCCTTCTCGGCGACACTGCTCAATGGTGTCTGGGTTCTTGAAGGCCCAGCCTCGACGGCGGTACGCTTCCCGCACATCCTCGCAACTGTTACAGCACCTGCAGGGAAGGAGGAGGGATGAGAGCGAGGCCAGGCTGGCACTCTGGGAAGGAAAGCCCCAACAGTTTGTCTGCTGCTGAGGCTCTGTCAGCCTCCTCCCTGACCGCCAAGGCTTCTCTCTGTCTCCTCACTGTGAGCAGAACATTCAGAGCACACCCCTAAGCTGCTTGGGGCTGTGACCTGTCGTAGGAGAAAAGGCACTGGATGTCCTTAATGCCAATGAACTGTCACACAAAGATGGTTAAAATGCAAACTTTCAGCTCCACATACTACTACTATTATTATTGTCTGTGTGTGTAGGCCTGTGGATTCCAGGGCCTTGTGCTTGTTTGCCACTGACTGTAACACAAGCCTTACTTCCCCCAATTTCTTCCCTAAAAAAAAAAAAAAATCAAGTCGGGTGGTGGCGGCACTATGCCTTTAATCCCAGCACTCACGAGGCAGAGGCAAGCGGATCTCTGTGAGTTCAAGGCCAACCTGGTCTACAAGACCTAGTTCCAGGACAGGCTCAGAAAGGCACGGAGAAACCCTGACTTGAAAAACAAAAAAAAGGGGGGGGGGGGCTGGAGAGATGGCTCAGTGGTTAAGAGCACTGGCTGCTCTTCCAAAGGTCCTGAGTTCAATTCCCACCAACCACATGGTGGCTCACAACCATCTGTAATGAAATCTGGTGTCCTCTTCTTGCCTACAGGCAGAGTACTGGGAATTCTGTATACATAATCAATAAATAAATCTTAAAAAAAAAAAAGTCAGGGCTGGGGAAACCACACAGCTGTTAGCACAGAGGCTTAATAGCATAGCTTTGGCCTTGTACTTAAGGGCTTTACCTATAACATACACTCGATCCTTACGTGACCACTGCAAGGAACGTGTTCCTCTCCTCCTTTATTAACAGATGGAGAAGTGATGTGGCCTGGCCTGAGGACAAGCACTGAGAGGCTGGCAGCTAGACTCCAGAATCTCCTTTGAGCTGCTTCTCCAGGCTGAGAAGCAACAATCAACCACTCCTGCCGTCTGCCGAGGTCCACAGCTGTCAGGGCAGGCCTGCTTATTAGCCCTCATCATTTGAACCAGGATCAGTGACAGGGCATACACCCTAACCCCTCTAAACTCTTAGTCCGACTTTCCAGGCTGAGCAGAAAGACTAATGAGAACCCACTCCCTTCCCGGGGCTCCACTCACTTGATATCTTCTGATTCAGCCCCGTAGCAGCTCTCACAGCGGTTGGGGTCCAGCGAGTCTGGGTCAAACACTGTCACCTCGACTTTCCCAAGTTCTGAGGAGAGGGCAGAGGCAAAGCACAAACAACATGAGTAGACACAGTGACATCACAAGTCCTTTGACCACTGGGGTGGAAAAAACCAAAGGAAAACCAAAATCTAATATTTATACAACACGTATGATGGTCAGGAGTTAAGCGCTTTACATACGCCGAGCGCTAATAAGGAACAGGTAGGACTCAGCTAGCACAGCTGCTACAGGTAACTCTACCAGGTCTCACTGCATTCCTATAAGATTGTGAAAATGGGTTGAAGCTGGGCATGGTGGCGCACACCTTTAATCCCAGGACTCAGGAGGCAGAGGCAGGTGGATCTCTGTGAGTTCAAAAAAAAAAAAAAAAGAAATATACCTGAGGGTAATGGAGACAGCTGCTTAGAAACAGAAAGTGAAAGTGAGCTAGCTATCCAAGGTCTTTCATACACATTACTGGTGATCCCCAACTTACGATGGGGGTTACATATGGATAAACTATCATATCCCAAAAAAATGCACTTAATACATCTAAGATACTGAACGTCATAGCTTAATCTAGCCCGCCTAAGACATGCTCAGATACACACACAGCTTACAGCTGGGCAAACCCATCTGACACAGAGGCTATTTCCTAACAAAGTACTAAGTATTGCAAATAACTTCCTGACTCCTTTACTGAAAGAGGAGCAGAAAGGTTGTATGGGTGCTTTCACACCCTCACAAAGTCAGAACATCCTAAGTGGGGAACCGCCTGCCCGCATCTGAGCCTTTCTCTCTTGTATGAGATACTACAGTTTACTACTTTATTGCTGATGCTCAGAGACCGCATGCAGGACGGCGCTGGATCTGAACCCAGGAAATTCTACTTAAGAACTTAAACCCTTAACCTTAGGCCACGTGCACTGCAAAGGGGGAAAGCCCTTTAGCCAATGCATTGGGAAAGCAAACACATGACAAGCTTCTATATATGGAAGACCCCTGCTCAATCTTGAGAGTATGAAAACCAAGTAAAGTGTTCTGCTCATAACCACCGAGCCATCTCTCCAGTCCCTAAGGTATTCCACTCAATGTGCCAATACAAGAAACATGATTCAACAGTCTTGATTCTTAACAGCTGAAGAACCCTAGACAAGCCAGCTGACTTCTGTCTAATGTGTCACTGAGCCTGCAACAGTCCACTTCTGGATGACGGTGTGTGTGTGTCCAGCTCTAGGATTGGAGACCTGCCCACACCACCCCCACCTTGGTTACCGTGACGTTCCGCCTCTGAGCTCACGGGGATTCCATCCTTATCTAGTCGTTTCTTGAACAGGTTGTGCTCCACATCCAGCTGCTGCTCCCCGGCCACGTCCATGGCATCGATGCTCAGATCTTGAAAGAGAGAGGTACTATGTATGACTCCAGGGACCTGGAGATCGGAGCTTTGATAGGAAAGAAGTATCTCGTGGAAGAACTGAACTAGGGGCATGAGGATGACCTGGCACCCATTCCGGGATCTAAGTGTAAATCTGGACGCCCACCTGGTACACCCAAGAGTCCAACTCCCACCCACAATCAGGTACTCACAAGCACAAGGCATGTGCGGGAAAAGAACATCGATGTTGATCTTCAGTTTATCTCCCCGAGACTTGTCCACATAAAGCTCAGGATGCACCTGCAGCGACGCCCTCTCAGTCAGATTGGGCCTTACCCCCTACCCCGCTTTAAGGGTCCTACCCTTAGAACGCCAAGCCCCGCCCACGTTCTAGGGCACGCCCCTTACCTCAGTGGTGAGATAATACTGCAACTCGGACAGGAACAGCAGGAGCATGAGAAGGCCACTGACTATGGTCACTGCAAGGCGGGAGCGAGATTTGGAATGGCCTGTGTCCCACCCCTCAGCCTCCAGCAGGCCAGGGAGAGTCCGGGAGCCCGGGCCAAACGCGGGGACAGCTCCCTCTCCACCACCCCTCCCGCTCCGAGACTTACCCGTGGCGCCCCCGCAGGTCTTGATCCGGAAGTCCTCCAGAGTCTTGGGGTAGGCATCGAACTGCTTCAGCTTCCCCAGCGCCTCCATGGGGACCGCCCGGAAAGGGGACACTAGCCGGCCCGCCCCTTTAGCCTCCCGCTTCCGGCCTGGGGTTTGGGCCACGCCCCTCGCTGTCTCGCGCAGACGCGGCAGTGCCTACGAGGGCGCCACCCTTACCCGCCTTCTTACAGGCTGTGTGGCCTGTGGGCGTTGTCCCGCTCCCTGGCGAGGATTGGGCAGGGCCCGGAGGTGGGCGGGCCGAGAACAGGGAGGACGGAGCTTGAGCGACTGTCCCAGTGTTAAGCGCTTCTCGTCGGACCTTACGACCTGCTAGTTCAGCGCTACTGACAATTCTCCTGCAGTAGCTGCAGCAGCATCAGTTCGAATTGGTTCCAAGTGCAAATAATTGTCCCCCGTCGACCGTATCGGAAAGTCCAAAAGTGGCTCCGAGGTGTTTCCAACGCGGTTAAGGCTCGAGAATCTCCGCCCTGAGAAGTGGCGAGTTGGCTCAGCGGGTGAAGGCGCTTGCTGCCAATCTTGATCACCTGAGTTTGATCCCCAGGACCCACATGGCCGAAGGAGAGACCTGATTCCTGCAAAATGTCCTCCTGACCTCCACACGAATGCCGTGGCACTCCCATGGCCACATACAAATAAGTAAATATATTTTTAAAACTTATTTTTAAAAGAAAGTGGGAGTTAGCTTTCATTTTTCTCAAGTGCAAATTGATCAATAATGGAACCCAGTTCTACTGGACCTCAAAGTACCCTGGGTTCTTAACTCAAAAGCTCCCCAGCGTTACTCTCAGTGCTTTCTGGGTTATCCTAAATCATTGTATAGAACGTGGGCAGTTCACCGACCCTTTCCACCCCTCCAGGCCTAGGCTATAGAGTGGAGAGTAAGCCAGCCCTTATTCGCATTCTCTTGTGACCCACTGGCTGTAGAGGAATGACTTCGGCTTAATCCAGCTGTGCTGACTAAAACGAAGTGATCCTGAGTTTTATTTTGAAACAGGGTCTTCTTGTGCTGTCCAGGCTGGCCCAGAACTCCTGGACACCACCGGTCTCAGCCTCACGGCATCTCATGGGAGGTTTTTATTTTGAAGGTTTATTTTTGTGTACGTGTATCTGCATGTGTTTCTATGAAGCAGGTGATAGCAGAGCGCATTGGATCCCCTGCTAGACTTAGGGGCAGTTGTGAGCCATCCAGTGTGTGTGTTCCAGGGACTGAACCAGGGTCAACCATGCTGAGCTCTTTCTTAAGCCCTAAGCTTAAAGGTTTTGATTTAGAATTTCTGCTTTGGGTCATAAATCTCGCTTTAGGAATCCCATGTTATGCTGTCTAGTGGTTATATACCCATAATAGTGAATGGTTTCCCTTCCACCTAAAGATTTTTTTCAAAGTTTTTTTTTTTCTTTCTCGAGAAGGGGTTTCCTTATGCAGCCCTGGCTGGCCTGGAACTCACTTTGTAGAGCAGGCTAGCCTCGAATTCAGAGATCCACCTGCCTCTGTCTCTAAAGTACTGGGATTAAAGGCATGAGCCACCACTGTCCAGCAAAGTTTTATTTTATTTTAGACAAGGTGTCACTGTGTAGCCTTAGCTGGTTTTGTATTCACAGAGATTTGCTTGCCTTTTCCTCCCGGGAGCTGTGATTACAAGCATGTACTGCCACACCGAGCGCTTAAATGTTTTTGTTAGCATATATTGGTTATCCACAATAATAGGTTTCATTATAACATCTTCATACATATATATATATATATATATATATATATATATATATATATATATATATAAAATGTATTTCTATCATACATGCACACACACACACGAGTGTACCCAGTTAGGCACCTTCATTTCCCCTTCACTGACAGCCAGGCTTCCCTTCTGCAGAGTGCACTCAGCAGAAAACTATGCTCTCTCTGTCTGTTCCAACATCTTCCCTCTAGGCCCAGTCAGAGCACTCCCTGGGGGCAGGAAAATGGACAGGAGGGGAAGGTGATGCTGGAGCCAGCGTGGAGGAATGCTGGTGCTGTCCATGGCCTCAGCCCCATGTCTTTCCAGGACGAGAAGCCAGTCTGCTGCCTGCCACATGAGCCCTTGTCTGGGCCAGCCATGGAGTCTTGTGGCTGAGGGCTCCCTACCTGGACTGGACACATGAAACAGCACCCCAGCAGGAATGGACATACATGGTACCACGGCACTGTAACTGGCTGTGCTTCAAATTCGGGGAGCATGGCTGCCCTTCAAGGACCCCCAACTGCCCCACCTGCCACCATACAGTTGGAGGATGGACCTGTTTTGAGGCATGTTATGAGAAGACCGTGGGGTACCTGAGGAGGACCAAGCTCTCTGGTGGCTGGTCAGTGGACAGCACTGGGCCCTGAGCTGTTCACTTTCCTCCCCAGGCCCAGTTCATCCCCCATCCTTTGGCTTCTGTGTGCTTCTCCCCTCTCCAATCTTGGCCCCTGGGCTCACCCCCCACCCCCAGAACTGATGGCTGGTGCTAGAACCCCAACTTCTCTTTCTGCTGCTACCAGGACATGAGCTCAGTAAGCGAGCTTGGAAAAGTGTGGAAGGAGCTATTAGAAGTGATTCCCAGGCCCCTCGTGCACCTTTTTGATTTCCTCTGTGTACCCTGTGTCATGCTGGCGACTCTGGCCGCAGCAGTATCAACATGGATTTCAGTAGTTACTAAGAAGGTAGTAGGCCAGGTCAGGCTTGCCCCAGGTTCTGTCAGTTTCTGCCTTGTTCCCAGGATAAGTCAGGGCACTACCCGCAGCTCTGAGGAAGGTGTAAGGAGCCAAACCCCAGGACCCTTCACCTGTCCCAGGAATACCAGGGTTCTTGGAGGTAGCAGGGGTTCCCAGAGCTTGCTGATCTGGTGCACCAGGTGGTAGTGTGGGGATAGGCTAGACATTCTCAACATGGAGGTACGGGGAGTTCTTGAGGAGGAGGGAAGAATGTGGGGATCTCTGCTGCCTTGATGGGGATGTCTGAGGGATTTTCTTAGGTCTCAAGAGCTTCCTGGAATTTCACCATCTCCAGTTTTTTCTCAACTGTAGATTTTGGGAGATGGTCTGATTTCCTCAGAGGCACGAGACAGGATAAGGCACAGAGGATGCGGCTCTGATCTGCAGTGGGCAGGGACTCAGGCTAGCCAGGGTACAACTATAACATGGGCAGCTAGCTGGATAGCCAGGGCAAGTGGCCTCCCTCTCTGGATTTGAATCTGAACAGCAAAGTAAGTGGTTTCATTATGGTAATCAGACCAAAGCCGCCCCCCCCACCCCCCCTCCCTGCCGCGAAGGTCCTGCCTGCATGTGTGTAGGTGTGTGTGTGGACAGGCACTCACATGTAGGCCTTCATTGTCAAAAATACAAAGCGTGTGAGCACATGCACAGCGTGCTCAGCTCACGCACAGAAGACTGGTGATGGGGGAAGCTTTGTTAACCGATCACCTCTAAGAAGTGGAACCTAATTAAGGCATGGCTACCTGCAGCCCAGGAAGAAAAACTGGGATGGACCAGGTGCTCGCTCTCTCTGGGTGATTCCTGCAGGACACAGAAGAGCTTGGACTTCCCATTCTCGTGGCATGAGTTTCCCCTTATAATAAGTAAAAATATAATTGTTTATCACCAAGCTGGCCTGGTTATTTCACGAATCGAGTTAACAGTTACACACTCACTGTCTGGGTTGCAGCTAGAAGCCTGCTGTAATCCGGTTCTAACCTTGGTCCCACCCTCTGCCACAGACAGACACAGACAGACACAGATAGACACATACACAGACACAGGTAGACACAGACAGACACAGACACAGGTAGACACAGACAGACACAGACAGACACAGACAGACACAGATAGGCAGACAGACACAGGTAGACACAGACAGACACAGATTAGGCAGACAGACACAGGTAGACACAGACAGACACAGATAGACACAGACAGACACAGATAGACACAGACAGACACAGATAGGCAGACAGACACAGATAGACACAGGTAGACACAGACAGACACAGATAGACACAGACAGACACAGATAGGCAGACAGACACAGACAGACACAGACAGACACAGATAGGCAGACAGACACAGATAGACACAGGTAGACACAGACACACACAGATAGACACAGACAGACACAGACAAGACACAGATAGGCAGACAGACACAGACAGACACAGACAGGCAGACAGACACAGACAGACACAGATAGACACAGACAGACACAGATAGGCAGAGAGACACAGATAGACACAGACAGACACAGATAGACACAGATAGGCAGACAGACACAGACAGACACAGACAGACACAGATAGGCAGACAGACACAGATAGACACAGGTAGACACAGACACACACAGATAGACACAGACAGACACAGACAAGACACAGATAGGCAGACAGACACAGACAGACACAGACAGGCAGACAGACACAGACAGACACAGATAGGCAGAGAGACACAGATAGACACAGACAGACACAGATAGACACAGACAGACACAGATAGGCAGACAGACACAGATAGACACAGACAGACACAGATAGACCAGCCCCACCAGTGTGCTCAGCAGCACTCTCGGGCGCCTCCCTCGTTCCCTCAGAATTCCCACAGGACTTCTGCTCATATGCAGGACTGTCTAAACTGTTAACGTGTACCTGGTTCTCCTTCTGTTTATTATTTACATGTACGTGCACATGTATGGGCATGTATGTGCTATTGCACATGTGTGGAGGTCAGAGGGTAACTTTCCTTCCCATCGTGTAGGACGGGATAGAACTCAGGTTGTCAGGAATTGGCAGCAAGTGCCAAGCATCTCACCAGACTTGTTACATGGTTCTCATCAGTCACCCCTGAGGCTGGACCAGGCTTGGCTTCTGTAACCTTCCCAGCTAGACAGCATCTCATGCAGTATGTTTCTCTCCCCCAGCCCCTGTCCCTGCCCCTGCCCCCAAGACAGGGTTTCTCTGTGCTGCTTTGGAGTCTGTCCTGGAACTAGTTCTTGTAGACCCGGCAGATCTCGAACTCACAGAGATTCGCCTGCCTCTGCCTCCCTGGGATTAAAGGTGTGCGCCACCACTGCCCGGCGCAGTATGTTTCTTAATTCCCCTGATGTCCTGCTTCCGCTCAGTTACAGAAGTGGAGACAGCAGCCCAGGACAGATGCAGAGACCTGGAATTTATTGGTGAAGGGGAAGATGGGGGAGACACTGAAGCCAAGAAGGCAGTGAACACTCCTTACACTCAATGCATTCAGGATGCTCCTGCCCAGGACAGAACACCCACATGCTGCTGGTGCCAACGGGGCCTTCAGGCTTAGTACAGACTGTGGTTGCTTCAACAGGGAAAGACAACAGATGCCCATGGGCAGGGCAAGGCACTTCTTGGGTAACAGTAGGTTAGCAAGCAAATGTGATTTGCCTCATTCCCATGTGAGCTGCAACCCCCTACAGCCTGGAGGGTTCCCATTTTCTTCCTGGGACTATCAGCTGACCTGGGCCTCCTAGCTGGGTAAGAGCTAAATCTTGCCTTTGGCAAACCCGCAGCTGTTGCAGGAAGCTGTGACCCCCCTCTGCAGTCATCTGATGTGCGCCCCCTGGCTGTGGCTGCTACCTGGGTGTAGTGTGAACAGTGTTCAGACTGGGATGTAGCAGGGCTGGCCCTGGGGATGTCAGACTCTGACTCAGGGACTCATCCAGCTTCCGGGTCTCAGCCTCCAGAACAGTGGCCTCGGGGGCCTGGGCCACTGTGAGAAGGGAGTGAGACAGGCTGTGATGGAGGCCTGCCAGCTCACGGCTGGTCTGCACCGATCGCGCAATGTACTCCTGCCTCTGCTTCCGCTCCAATGCCAGCTGGGCTCGCAGCAGGGCTACCTAGTGGACAGGAAAACCAAGAAGGAGAGCAGTTGAAGGCTCTGAAGCTGTCCTGGCCCTTCTGCTCTGTGCTCTTCCGGCTCCACGCTGGAACCAACGTGTATATGAATCTCAGAATCAGGCTCTGGTGTTAGGAGAAGGGTTCCATGGACTCCAAATCCAGTGATTCTCAATGCTGACTCCAGTTATGATGGCTGGTTTAATGTCAACACAATCTAGCACCTGAGAAGACCTCAGTGAGGGACTGCGTACATCAGGGTGGCCTGTGACATGTCTGTAAGGGACTGCCTTACCTACATAAATCATGCTGGTGGTACCATTCCCTGGCTATGGTCCTGCACTGTAGTAAGCTAAGCAGTAGGCATGCATGCATTCACCCTGGCTGCTCACTGTGATGCCACTACCTGCTTTGACTTCCGGCGGCCTCTACTTCCCTGCTACAATGGACTGGTACCTGGAAGTGAGAGCTAAAACAAACCCTTTTCCTGTCCATGGCTGTCATCAGGGTATTTTATCGTGAACTAGGACAACAGATGACATGGGGCGCTACAGCATAATTAAACTCAACAACTTTATTTTCTTTAATTTTTAAAAGATTTACTTTTTTTTTTTTTTTTTTGGTTTTTTGAGACAGGGTTTCTCTGTGGCTTTGGAGCCTGTCCTGGAACTAGCTCTTGTAGACCAGGCTGGTCTCGAACTCACAGAGATCCACCTGCCTCTGCCTCCCGAGTGCTGGGAATAAAGGTGTGCGCCACCACCACCCGGCAAGATTTACTTTTTTTTTTTTAAAAAAAAAACTGTATGACTGTTTTGCCCGCACGTATGTATGTGCACCATGTGTATCTGGTGCCTACAGGCCAGAAAAGCGCACCAGATGCCCTGAAATTGGAGTTGGGGATGGTTGTGAGCTACCATGTTGGCGATGGCAGCTGAACCTAGATCCTCTTAACCACTGAGCCATCTCTCCAGCCCCTCACTAACATCAACCAAGGGAAATTTACATTTGCTCAAATACCCAGAGTTTTAATTTTGATGATTTCAATAATGTGTGTACTCAGGCATAACCACAACCTAATCAACCACTGAACACTTGGATCAGGCACAAGTTCCATCACATCTTTGGGAGGAAATATTCCAACTTAACTAGAATGGGGTGAGGCCCCAGTATCAGTGTTTTTCCAAAACTCCTCCCCAATGTGGCTCTAAGATACTGCCAAGGTTGAGAATCTCCAACTAAACTTCCCATGCCTCAGACGGGAATGGGAACGGTGAAGTGACCGGACTTTGAGGACCATCCAGAACTAAGGTGAGGGGAGGGCCTTAGAGGGCAGCTCTGAGAGACACACCAGGAAAAAAGCAAGTCCCAAGGCTTGTCTCAGACTCTGAGTCAGGGGCTTCATAGAAATGTAACTACAAAGCACAGCCCAGGTCCAGCTGGACTCAGCCTGCCGACAGTAAATACTGATTTTGAGAGAGGCTCAGGAATCCTATCTCTTCATTACTCCTAGGTGGGGTAGGAGAAAGGTGTGGAGAGGAGGAGGGAGGAGAAAGAGGAATGTGGGACCTTTAGGTAAGGTATAGGAGGCAGGAGGCATTAGTTTCCTGGATGTGGCAGCTTGCCTGGCCATGTCTGAGTCCCTCTGCTACTGTCCAAGTCCTGCCTGCCTATAGCTGAGGGCCAGGCCTCAATGTTTCCTGTCCTGTTCTGCCCCAGACCCTCTGTGTCTCCTCTCCCTCTGTGAGGACGGACCTGGAGGCTGCCCTGACCCTCTGTGTCTCCTCTCCCTCTGTGAGGACGGACCTGGAGGCTGCCCCAGACTTTCCGCCACCCTGCAGGAGAAGCTGAGACTGGATCACATTTGCCTCCTATGGAGATAAAGTTCTCTGGGGTCGAAGACTCTCCCTCTCAGCTGGAAATACAGACACAAAATTTGCTGCCTGAGCACAGTGAGGGAAAGGGGGAATAGAAGATGGATCCTTCCAGAACATACCTCTCTCTGAAGTTCAACCATATGCATGCTATCCGAGGAACCCCTCTGACCTCCTCTTCCATCCTGAGGGAGATAAAAACAGACCTATCAGAATGGGCTGTCTGCTCTGGAGTTTCCACAGCACCCACCTCTGCCCCTGGCCCAAGGCCAGCAAGGCTTCCAGGGGCCTATCTGTTGAGCAGGCAGCGCTCAACTCATCCCACTCCCGGGAGGTGGCAACATCCTGAGGGCCAGGAGTACCTGAACTGAATGAAGCATATGGGCATGGCTCCATAGGGGAGGCCCTAGAGGGCAATGGCAGCAGCATGGGCAGCATCTTCTGTGAGGAACCTTTTTATTTAACATTAAGGATTCATGGTGGATCTGTTTTGTGGCAGCCTTGGGATGAAGGCGAAGAAAGTATCTGCCCTTGGGAAATGTTCATTAAAAGTGGGGTGAAGCTGGAGATGTTCAGGAGGAGAAGCAGTTCCTCGGCCCATGCTGACAGGAACAGCTTACCCTTCCCTGAAAATGGGCTCTGTGCCAGGGCATATCAGAATCCTAACGTAAACTTAGAACTAAGGGGCTTGTAGATGTGGAGCTGTGGTCAAAGCCCTGGGCTGGAAAGCACGACACAGCCACTGGACGCCGGGGACTCTGGGTAACCGGAGAACCTAAGGCACTGCTCAGGGAGTGAGTGGATCTGAACCCACTGTTCCTGACTGCAGTTACCACTGATGTCAGACCTCCTCCTAAGGCAAGGACAGACCGAGGACAGAGTCAAGCTGGAGGCGGGGGCGCTCTCTAGATTCGAGTGGCTGTCTCTACGTCTACACTGGTCTGGGATATGCACTACAGAGGGTTGAGTCTCTATAGGGGCAGGAAGAAAGAGGCAGGTAAGAAAAGCAGGTAACCTGCTGTGTAGGGGATGAAGCCATCGCTTCTCTCATCTCCAGTGACCCCGCTCGGGATGCACGTATGGACTCCTTCTTCAGCTTCCTCCGTTCTCGCTCCACCTGCCAATATGCAAGAGAGAAACACATCTTGATTTGGAGTCAGCACATGTGCAGGGGTGAGTGCGGAGAGCTGGAAGCCATGGGCAGTGAGACTCCTGGGCTGGGGGGCATAAGGTAGGATATACAGAAGTGCTCCTGGTACAGAGAGAGGAGGCTGGCTGGCTCTCAGGCTGGCTGTGTGGGTTGTTCGTGGGCTGTTCCCACTGTCACAGCTAATCTGCTCTTCAGCATGGTCAGCAGGCTCCACAAACACGGCTGTAACTTAATAAAACTCAAAAACGGGCACAAGAAATGGAGATTTGGGGCCCCAGAGGGGGACTGCAAACGCTCCTGACCTGCTCTAGTGCAGTCCGCAGCTGTGTGTTGTGGTGTTGCAGCTTGCTCCGGTCAAACTCCAGCTGCGCCACTGCTTGCTGCAGACGCTCCAGCCTTTGTGTCCACTGCTCCTTCTCCTCCGCCCCAGGACTAGGCTCAGCCACAGCTACCTGCAGGGGAGACCCAGGATGTTCATCCAGGCAGCCTGACAGACAGGGAGAAGAGATGGAGGGCAAAGGGACCAATTTGTCAGCTTGGGGTCAGAGGCCCATTCCTAAAGGAGGGAACAAGCTGCTGACGGGCTCCTCCTGCACCACTGGGCCCAGCTCACCTCTCCAGGCTGTGTGTTTTGTCCAGCTTTGGGCCCCTGGTCTGCTCTGCTGGCTGAGCGTGGGCCACATGACTGCTGCTCCTCCAGAGCCTGTCTGCTGAGCACCAACTCCTCCTGAGGTTCAGAGCCAAGGACAAAAACCACTCTATGCCAAACCCATATCCAAGTTGTCTCCTTCTCTATCCTCTTCATAAACAGACCATGTTCAAGATGGAAGACAGATTTGGGAGTGTGTGTGTGTGTGTGTGTGTGTGTGTGTGAGAGAGAGAGAGAGAGAGAGAGAGAGAGAGAGAGAGAGAGAGAGAGATAAGCTCACAGGGAAAGGAAGAGCCACATGGTCTAACCCTGAGCCCTCCTCAGATTGTCAGAGCTAACCACTTCAACCAGATGTCTGACTTTGAACAAGCTCAAGTCCCTGACTGCCATTTTTCAACGATAAAATGGACATAGTATCAGTTCCTTCGAGGGTAGTGAAAACTGAGGACAATGGAACCTGGCATGTAAAAATGTTTAAATATGTAAAATGCTAAGTGGTAAAGAGAACCTGCTGCTTTTCCAGAGGATCCAAGTTTGGTTCCCAGCACCAATTGTGGCATAGCTCACAATTGTCTTTAACTCTAGCTCCACAGACTCCAATGCCCTCTTCTGGCCTCCATAGGCACCTACACATACACACACACACACACACACACACACACACACACACACTCCTACACACACACACACTCCTACACATACACACACCCACCTATAGCACATTCACATAGCACACACTCATACAAATATGTACAAACACATTAACAACAACAGCCAGGCAGTGGGAGCCCACACCTTCAGCCCCAGCCCTCAGAAGGCAGAGGTAGACGGAGCTCTGTGAGGTCGAGGCCAGCCTGGTCTACAAGAGCTAGTTCCAGGACAAGCAACAAAGCAACACAGAGAAACCTGTCTTGAAAAACAAAAACAAACAAACAAACAACAACAAAAAGCCAATCTTAACCAAAAGCAATCTACAGATCCAACACAATGCCCATTAAAATCCCAGCAAAATTCTTCAAAGACCTCGAAAGAATGGTACTCAACTTCATATGGAAAAGCGAAAAACCTAGGATAGCCAAAACAATCCTGAACAATAAAAGAACTTCTGGAGGCATCACAATCCATGACTTCAAACTCTACTACAGAGCTACAGCACTGAAAACAGCCTGGTACTGGCATAAGAACAGACAGGAGAACCAATGGAACCAAATAGAAGACCCAGATATCAATCCACACATTTTCGAACACCTGATCTTTGATAAAGAAGCAAAAAAATATCAAATGGAAAAGAGAAAGCATATTTAACAAGTGGTGCTGGCATAACTGGATATCAACATGCAGAAGAATGAAAATAGACCCATATCTATCACCATGCACAAAACTCAAGTCCAAATGGATCAAAGACCTCAACATAAAGCCACCCACATTGAACCTTATAGAAGAGAAAGTGGGAAGTACACTTGAATACAGTGGCACAGGAGACCACTTCCTAAATAGAACCCCAGCAGCACAAACACTGAGAGAAACAATAAATGGGACCTACTGAAACTGAGAAGCTTCTGTAAAGCAAAGGACACGATCAACAAGACAAAACGACAGCCTACAGAATGGCTAAAGATCTTCATGAAGAATGGATAAGGAAAATGTGGTACATTTACACAATGAAGTACTACACAGAAGAAAAAAATGACATCTTGAATTTTGCAGGAAAATGGATGGAGCTAGAAAACATTATTTTAAGTGAGGTAACCCAGACACAGAAAGACAATTATCACATGTACTCACTCATAGGTGGTTTTTAAATATAAAGCAAAGAAAGCCAGCCTACAAACCACAATCCCAGAGAACTTAGACAACAATGCGGACACTACATAGATCTAATCTACATGGGAAGTAGAAAGTAGAAAAAGACAAGATCTCCTGAGTAAATTGGGAGCATGGGGACCTTGCGGGAGGGCTGAAGGGGGGAAGGGAGAGGCAGGGAGGGGAGCAGAGAAAAATATAGAGCTCAATAAAAAAAAAAAAAGACTGTTCCTCATATGGTGACCTGCAACAATAAATTGATTTATTGCTACTTCAAAACTATAATTTTATGAATCATAACACTGATATTTCTGATGGTCTAGGGCAACCCTGTGAAAGGGTTGTTTGATCTCAAAGGGGTCTGGACCCACAGGTTGAGAAGCACTGTCTGTAATCAACCACCTACTTTCAAGTTCACCCCTTCCTATCACAGGCCCAGCTCCACACTCTGCAGGCGCTCATCTCACTCTGACCTACAGGCCCTTCACTGAGCTGCCTGCTGAATGTCCCTGTGTCCCCTCGGTGCCTCGCTCTACTTTCAAACCGAGTTCACCGTCCTCAGTCCCACTTTTCTTCATCTTCGTGGGCTGCTCCTGCACTGTTCCTGGCTAGTTCCCTTCCAGTTCCTTCCAACTTAACCTTAAACACCACTTTTACCAGAAAGCCATTTGGTGCCACCCTTGGGAAGCCTGGGTGTCCCTGAAGCATGCTCAGAGCACACTGAAATTCCTCTATCCGGCATGGTCCTCACTGATTACAGTCGCTCATCTGTTCTGCCAGCTGAGGTATAGAAGGGCTCACCACCTCCTTCTCACAGTCTGAGGTACCACAGGCAGGCAATCAGCTAACAAACTCTGCCCCCTGCCTGTCTCTCCACACAGTGACTCACCTGTAGCCGTTGCTGTTCTGACTCCCTCTCTAGGACAGAGGTTTGTAGGAACATGGCTATCTCCTGCAGACTGCTGATGCTGGCCTTGCTCTGGGCCAGGGACAGTGCCAAGTTCTGAGCCTTCTCCCTCCATTCGATCTCCCTCGCTTCTGTCTGCCTCAGGGCATTCTGCAGCCGCTCCAGCTCCTGTTGCGTTGGGGGCGATAGTGAAGCTGGCTTCTCTGCTGGGAAGGCTCTGAGGCTTGGGGAAGAAGCGTCCAGACTCTGCCTTTGCTGGGCCTCCCTCAGCATCAAAATTTCTTCTTCCTTTTGGGCTAGAGTCAGCTGTAGTTCCCTTAGGCTTTCCACAATGTCCCCTGCCTCCTCTTCTCTTTCTCGTTCCAGACCTTGCTTCTCTTGGATCCCATTTTCTTGACTTCTCTGGGCCAGAGCCTTTTCCAGCAGCTGCCCCTGCTCCTCCTGCTGCCTCAGCTCTTCTTCCTTCTGGGAAAGGGCCTGTTGGAGCTGCTGCATAACCTCTTGGTGTTGGAAAGCCTGGGCCTGGATCTCACCTTCTCGCTTCCTCAGGGCCTCCTCCAGCTGCCGGGCACGTGCCTGGCAGGTGTCCAGGGTAGCTTGCAAGGTGGTAGTGCTGGCCTCCAGAGTGCAGCTCAATTCAGCCTGCTCAAGGAGACTCTGCTCTTTGTCCTGCAGGGCAGCCTGGGTCTTGCTGAGGGCCTCTTGCAGAGCTTCTGCCTGGCCCCAGGCAGCCTCCTCCTGATGACGGGAATACTGATTTTCTGCTCGCAGAGCTGCTAGCTCTTGTTCTTGTTCTGTAAGTGTGGCCTGGGCCTGCAGCCAGCTGTCCTGCAGGGTCCTGGCTTCGGCCTCATGCTCCTGTGCCTGTTCAGCACATCGCTGTTGAAGGGCCAGCACAGCTTTCTCGTGCTCCAGAGACTCAGCCCTTAGGTCTCCCAGCACCTCCTCCAGGGCCCGCACCTGCCGTCCCTCCGCTGCCAGCTCTTCCTGGAGCCTTTGCACCTGTTCCCTGTGATCGTCGAGCTCCCCCTGGCGCTCCTTCAGTGTCACCTGGGCCTGCTCCAGCGACGCCTGCAGAGCACTTGCCCTTTGCTTCATGCTTTCCTCCTGATCCCGGGTCTGCTGCTGTTCTTGCCGAAGGGCCTCCAGTTCTTGGTCCTTCTGGGTCAGAGCTCTCTGGGCCTCCTCCAGCTGACCATGAAGTGCCTGCTCTTTCAGCTCCCCTTGGTCCTTGGCTTCCTGGAGGTGCCGCTGCAGGCTCGCTATCTCCTGTTCTCGATGGGTCAGGAGCAGGCTAGTCTCGCCCATCTTCCTGTGCAGGCCTTGGAGCTGCTGCTCCAGCTGGCCGGTGTGTTCCTGCAGTTCCTGGATGCGCTCGTGCTGGCACTCAACCTCCTTCTCCTTATCACGTAGAATCAGCTTCAAGTGCTCCAGGCTCCCACGCTGGGCTTTACTAGGGCTCTTCCCATTGTCTGCCCGCTCGTGCATCAGCTGCCGCTGGGAGGCCAGCTCCTGCCCGCGCTCTCTCAAGGAATGCTTGATTTGTTCCAGGTCCTCCTCCAAGATCTTGGTCTGCAGCGTCCTCTGATCTTCCAGAACCTGGATCCTCTCCTTCTGCAGCATCAGCTCCTGGCCCTTCCTCTCTAGGTCTTGAGTCAGTTGCTCTTTCTGTTTCTGCAGTTCCTTAATCTGCTGGCGCTGAGCCTTCACCTCCTGGTCCCTCTCCTGCAGCTCTCTCGCCAGATGAGTGCCGTGGTTCTCCAGATCATGGAGCTTGGTGCTTTGTGCCTGCAGCTCCTGGCTCTTTTCTTCCAGGTCCAGGGTAAGGTGGGTTAGAGCCACCCTCTGCATTTCCCTCTGGTCCTCCAGCTCCGCAATCACTTGCTGCTGGCCCTCCACTTTGTGGTGGCTTTCCTCCAGTTCCAGGGCCAGGCATTCCAGTGTCACCAGCTGCTTTTTCAGATCCTGGATCTGCCCCCTCTGGGACTCAATCACTTGAGCCTTCTTCTCCAGTTCCAGGAGATGATGTTCCAAGACACCCCTCTGGGTCTCCCGGTCTTTCTCCAGTTCTCTGATCTGGTCCCGCTGCAGGCACAGCTTCTGCTCCCGCTCCTGGACAGCCATGGGCAGGTGTTCTAACACAGACCTGCACTTCTCCAGCTCCTGAATCTGTTCTTGTTGCAGGTCTACCTCTTGACTTCGCTGCTTCAGGTCCAGGGAGAGCAGCTCCAGAGCTGCCTTCTGCATTTCCCGCTGCTTCTCCAAGTCCTGGATCTCAGCCTGCAACGTCTCCACCTCCCGTTCTCTGTTAGACAGAGTCTGGGCCAGCAGGGCTAGATTCTCCTGCAAAGCCTTCCCCTGGGCCACTTTTAGCTCGCCCTGCTCTTGCAAAGCCTGGACTCTCTCCCGCTCACTCTCGACCTCCTCGTTTTTCAGTTTCAGTGCTGAGCGAGCCGTTCGCAGATCTTCTTCCAGGACACCGGCTGCACTTGCCTGAGCCCGGGCTTCTGCGACACATGTTTGCAGATGTTCAACCTGGGCAGTCAGCTTCTCCTTGGACGCCTGAAGCAACTCTTGTTCATTCTGGAAACAAGAGGCAAAATGCTTTAAGACAAGATGATTTCCTTTTTATTTTGGTCTTTTGAGACAGGGTTTCTCAGTGTAGGCCTGGCTATCCTGGAACTCATTTTGCAGACCAGGCTGGCCTCGAACTCAGAGATCTGCCTGCCTATGTGCTTGCATCTGTGCAGAGATTAAAGATGTGTGCCACCACTGCCTGGCCAAGATTATTTTTTTGATACTGTCACTCTGATATTGGCCTTTTATTTTATGGCACCATCAGTGACCAGGTCTTAGCAAGGACTGAAGTGATGTGTTCCACTTAAGCAGATCCTATACAGGAGTGTCCCTACCATCTTTCAGGGCTCCTTTGTGTCCAGGGGAGATAGCTTGGTGCAAAGAGGCTTTCTAGACCCTGATCTTCCAGAGCAAGGAATAGGAATAAGAGTCTAATCTTGGAGCTGGAGCGATGGCTCAGTGGTTAAGAGTATTGCCTGCTCTTCCGAAGGTCCTGAGTTCAATTCCCAGCAACCACATGGTGGCGCACAACCATCTGTAGTGAGGTCTGGTGCCCTCTTCTGGTCTGCAGGCATACATGTAGACAGAATATTATATACATAATAAATAAATAAATATTTTAAAAAAAAAGAGTCTAATCTTGATTCAGAAAAAGTAATTAGATGAAGGTCACTATGATCTTCATAATGGGAAGGTGGGAGGCGTCAGGGAACCTTGAGATTTGCTGAAGGAAGCCAGGCATGTGAGCACAGGCCAAGGTGGGTCTGAGAGGCAGGATTGTGAACTCTAAACACAACTCCTGAGGCACTCTTCCCCAGGTCAGCACTTTACCTGAGCTTCCATTTTCTGCAGCTCTGCCTGCCGCAGGCGACTCTGTAAGGATGCCACAGTCTCGTGCAGGTCTCTCAGCTCAGACTCCAGGGAGCTCTGTTTCCCTTCCCACTTGGATTTCTCTTTGAAAAGAGCAGAGGTGCTGGAGTCAGGTGCATGGGCGCAGGTGGGAGAACACAAGGGTGTAGACCAGATGGAGGACAGCGATCAGAAGCCCAGGGGAACACGGCCAAGGAGAAAAAAATGACACCCAGTGTCCTGTGCCTTTGCCTGTCTATCAGCAGCTGCTTCCAGCCTCGCACCGTGTCAGCCGTGAGCCCTGGCACAGCACGGCCTGCCAACCGTCCTACACTTCCTATCCTCAACACCCAGGGATCCTCAGATCCATTCTCTAGATACGAGAGGCAGTGGTCATGACAGCAAAGGCCACTTCTAATCCCAAATCATATGAGTTTGTAGGTGGTTCCTAGAGGCGTTTGAGTCTGAAGACACCCCAGGTCAGTGGTGTGTACAGACCTCAGAGAACCCTAAAAAGGCTCAGCTATTTCCTTCTGCAATAGGACGTCAAGAGGGAACAGTCTTGAGGCTCCTTTCCTTTCCAGGTGGTACCCACCCCTCCAAGTCTGTGGCAGAGGGACAGGACAGCATGTTCTTCCTGATTCCCCTGCCTGGCCTTTCTCACAGTACGTAAATTATTCTCACAATAATCCTTTAGTCCTCAAAGGCTAATTTTGAGGGCATAGTGGGAAATGATAAAAATAAGAAACATGGATAAATGATGAGAAACACAATTTTATGGTCTGATAGTTCCGGCCCAGGGTCACCAGGATTTTGTGCTTGAAAAGAAAAAAAATCTTTGCATGGGCTGAGATGGCTCAGAAGGGAAAAGTTCTCACTACTATACCTGACTACTTGGGCAGGATGCCTGGGGAATCTGTGAGGTAGAAGAGAGCTGGTTTCCATAAATTGCCCTCTGACCTCCAAGTGTGCCATGGCACACCACACAATAAATGTAATTTTAAAAACTAAAAAGCAAAACCAAAAACAACTCCCTGCAGAGACTAACAGCGGCCGAAGCAGCAACTTCTATCAGATTCCCAGATCTGTTCCTTCTAACTCCTTTTTCCAGAATGCCCACAAAGGCCAAGCAAAGGGGAACTAGAGTTGAAGAAGCTCACCGCCCCTCACAGGTGCCTTAGCTAGTCTCCTGTCCCTGTCACCACCTGCTCTTGCCTCCTGTCATGCTGCTGCCCTGAGCATCTCACCTTCCCGGCTCTGTGAGAGCTGTCTTTTCAGCTCCTGCAACTCTGAGTGGGCCTGGCTCTTCTGGGCCTCCGTATCAGCCAGGTGCTGTGTCAGCTTCAGGATCTGGTCCCTCAGGTCATCCTGGGAAAGGAAGGGTGGGGTTGAGCTCCTGCTCTGTAGAGCTCAAACTGTCTATACTCTGCAGTCTCTGCCACCATGACCCTACTCTCTAAACCAGTTCTTAAGCTTGCTAAACTGTGACCCTTAAATATGGTTCCTCTTGTTACGGTGATCCCCAACCATAAAATTATTTTGTTGCTACTTCATAACTGTAATTTTGCTACTGTTATGAATTGTAACATAAATATCTGCTATCTGACCCCTGTGAAAGGGTCGTTCAACACCCAAAAAGGTTGTGACCCACAGGTTGAGAACCACTGCTCAAAACCCTTCTGCATTTATTTAGTCCCCTGAAGGCGGAGTGAACCTGAGGGGCACCCCCTGGGCCTATGTTTTGTCATTATTTCAGACAGTCTCACGTAGCCCAGGCTGGTCTTAAAGTGACCACAAAGTCTAGGCTTGTCTTGAATGCCTGATCATCCTCCTGCCTCAGCCTCCCAAATGCTGGGACCACAGGCCTCTGCCACCCCACCTGAATTATTTCTTTTGAAGTAACTGCTCAGTGTCCTATTCCAGCCACTCCTTCTCTCTTAGGAACTCCTCACAGTTCAGAACACGGTCACCTCTCCCCTGACATGCTCTAGCCATGTCTGAGCCAGTCCTTCTGTTGGCTCCATGGCAGAGTGAAGCCTGGGCTCCCCATGGAGGGCTTCTTGAAGGCGGGCTGGGTCTTTACATTCTGTATCAGCAGCTCTGAGTGGCTGGTGCACAGGTAGTTCTCAGTACTGACTAGCAGGCACAGTGAGGTGGAGTTAGCTCAGTCTTATGTCTAGAATGTTCTTGTAAACATTGACTTCAAATTCCAATGCTCCCAGCTTACCTGACTTCTCAGAGGACTTGGTACTATGCATAAATTCTTGGACGAGAAATGATGGAGGAAGGTCATTGGCTAATAAAGGAACTGCCTTGGCCCATTTTATTAATTGAAAGATAGGTGGGAGGAGTAGACAGAACAGAACGCTGGGAGGAAGAGGAAGTGAGGTCAGACTACACAGCTCTCTCAGGAGCAGATGCCTCAGAGAGAGACGCCATGCCCCGCTCCCGGGATGAAGCTCCGACCCAGGATGGACTAGGCTAGAATCTTCCTGGTAAGCGCACCTTGGGGTGCCATACACAGATGATTAGAAATGGGCTAAATTAATATGTGAGAATTAGCCTAGAAGAGAATGGGCCAAGCAGTGTTTAAATGAATACAGTTTGTGTGTTGTTATTTTGGGCATAAGCTAGCCATGTGGGCGGCCGGGTGTGGGGGACGCAGCCCTGCCACCCTTATTGCTACATTTTGACGCCCAATGTGATGGACTAAACCCACTTAAAAAACCTGAGAAGGCTTAAAAATAAGGGAGAGAGAGTTTAACACAGATTTTTGCTGTTTGTTGGTGGCATGCTGTAGAGAGATTTCCTGATTCGGCAACAGTAGCAGAAAAAATGCTGTGTCATTTTAAAGCGCGACTTCCTGGGGCTGTGCCGCCATTGCGATCTCTGTCTGGCTCCTACAGGAGACAGAGCTTTTGAATAGAGCATTTGGAGTAAAGTGCTACAATTTGTTTGATGGCAACTAGACTCGCTGTGTTCTCGGGTCTACTCTGCTTGCCAGAGGCAAGCAAGTGCCTCATCTAAGAGAGGCTTCCTGACTCAGCTTTAGCTGCAAAGCCTGCAGCTCATTAAGAGGTCCTGCCACGAAACACTTAAACGGTGTTGACGAAAAGCTGAACGCATGCTTTTCGGTTTTCAGCCGTAGCAGGAAAAAAGCTGCGCCGTTTAAAAATGCCGGCTTTCTGGGCCATCCTGCCAGGGCAAACTGACTGTTTGAGGCAGGAGGGCCGGCTACCGAGAGAGGACTTGAGTGTTGTCTGTTGTAGCTCACTTGCTGGCAGGGACCTTGAAATGCCATAGAGTTGTTGCAGTAAACATGCCTACAGCCGGTACCTCAGCCATGAGGCTGGAAAGCTAAGGAATGGACTGGATCTAGCTGGCAAAGCCACGCCTTTAATCCTACTGATACTGCTTGGTAAATTAAAGGCTCTTGTGGTCAGAAAAAGAGAGATATACAGTAAAGAGAGATTCAAAGACAAAGAAAATTTTTAAATGGTTTACAGTGTGTTAAAAATATATGCAGACTAAAAGTTGAAGTTCTTAAAGTAAAAAACAAAAAAAGAAAGAGAGTTGTTGCGTGTGGTAGCACACGCCTTTAATCCCAGTGCCTAGAAGGCAGAGACAAACAGTTCTCTGTGAGTACAAGGTGTAGTAGTGTACACCTTTAATCCCGAATGCCTGGGAGGCAGAGACAGGCGGATCTCTGAGAGTTCAAAGACAGCCTGGTCTACAGAGTTACTTCAGGTCAAAGATACAGAGAACCTGTCTCAAAAAGCAAAAAGTTAAAAGTAAAAATAAACAAAATAGAGGTTAAAACAAAGCTGTACAAAGATGGAAAATAGACAGAGAATTTTGATACTGTATGCTATTATGCTCTCTTTGAATTGTTTAAATGCTGAGGAAGGAGAAACAGATGCTAAAAGATATTTATTTATAAATGCTGCTGAACTAATCCAACATAGATATTTTGAATTTGGATCTAAGGATATGATACTTTGGAAAGGAGTTTCTTATTTTGTTTTCACAGAGGATGAGACGCTGTTCATTTCTTCTATTCCGATTTGGTATGATGGACCACGCCCTCCTGAAGGGTTGGTGTGAACACCTTCAAAAAATTGCTTCGCTCAACTGCCAACTGAGATGAAACTAGCACACAGGTTATACCGTGAAAGACCTAATTAACGACGCCCCCATTCAGCAGGAAGCAGTTTGGAGAGAAAAAACTGCGCCCATGTTCCCAAATATGGTTTATAAACGTTCTTTTACATTTAAAGGGGGATATGATATAGATATGAATAATTTGTATTAGTATAGATTTTGCTTTATTGATAGAGATTTAAGGTCAATTTTGTTATGTATAAGTGTTTCTGATTTTGATTAAGGTATTGTGATTGTGTAGTTCATTTAAATATGTACTGTATAATTAAGAAATATAGGTTGTTAATGGATAACCATCGATAATAGTAAAGCTTGTAGTCATGTTAATTAGATTTTCTAGATATACAGAGATATATTTTAGATAGACATTCTTCATGTCTTTCAAAGATTACAGAATAGGACATTTAATGTTTTAATAACTGAGGACTTTTCATGACAATGAGACACTCTGCTCCTGGCAGCACCAATGTACTTCAAGAGGAAGATGGGCATCGAAGAGGCACCTTATAGAGTTTGATAGCCATTTGGGCAAGAAACTGCTCTTGCCTGGACTACTGCATAAACTGGACACAGAGAACCCGCAGAGAGAGGACTACTGAACTTGCCTAAGGTGAGATGATCTTTCCGGGTTCCTGATTCATGAAAGAGTCTGCGAGACATTCTGCAGGACACAACAGATAGTGACTAAACTGACTTTGAATTTTCCTGCTTTATGGAAATGTCTGCTGGATACCATGGGCCCGAAGGCTGAAGATGGATGCCCCAACGATACAGAGGAACTTTGGGTGACTGTCCAGGCAGCGAGATGTCTCTGTCATTTCTAGAGTTTTAAAAGTTGCTTTTTTCTTTTCTTTTTTTTTTTTTAAATATTTATTTATTTATTTATTAAGTATACAATATTCTGTCTGTGTGTATGTCTGCAGGCCAGAAGAGGGCACCAGACCTCTTTACAGATGGTTGTGAGCCACCATGTGGTTGCCGGGAATTGAACTCAGGACCTTTGGAAGAGCAGGCAATGCTCTTAACCACTGAGCCATCTCTCCAGCCCAAGTTGCTTTTTTCTTGTTTGCTTAGGTAGTAGTGTATCTTTCTGGAGTCTTTGATGGAGTTAAGAATAGTTAGTTATAGTTATAGTTTTCCTTAGTTATGATAAAGATTATTGTAACTTTTACTTGATAACTGTTTTGTTATACGTAATTTTGCTATGTTAAAGTTAAAGCCTTTTTTTTTTTTTTTGGTTTAAACCAAAAAAGGGGAAATGATGGAGGAAGGTCATTGGCTAATAAAGGAACTGCCTTGGCCCATTTTATTGATTGAAAGATAGGTGGGAGGAGTAGACAGAACAGAATGCTGGGAGGAAGAGGAAGTGAGGTCAGACTACACAGCTCTCTCAGGAGCAGACGCTTCAGAGAGAGATGCCATGCCCCGCTCCCGGGATGAAGCTCCAACCCAGGATGGACTAGGCTAGAATCTTCCTGGTAAGCGCACCTTGGGGTGCCATACACAGATGATTAGAAATGGGCTAAATTAATATGTGAGAATTAGCCTAGAAGAGAATGGGCCAAGCAGTGTTTAAATGAATACAGTTTGTGTGTTGTTATTTTGGGCATAAGCTAGCCATGTGGGCGGCCGGGTGTGGGGGACGCAGCCCTGCCACCCTTATTGCTACAGAGAAATGATACAAAATAAAACCCATGTGTTGTGTTGAAGGGTTTACAGTGCATAGGGCTCCTTTAAGACCCCTACTCCCAGCAGTGGGGTGTGGAGTGCTGTGTGAGGGCAGAGGCAGCAGGGGAAGGGAAGCATCATCCACCCACTTTCCAAGGGAAAACAAGGCTCCAGAAACCCAGATGCTTCAGTTACGTCTGTCAGGCAGTAAGCAACCCACAGAGTGACAGAGGCAGAGCTCAGGATGAGCAGCACCCTTTGACCCATCTTCCTCCATGTTACCAGTCTGTTTTGAGCATCGCGGGGAAAGTCAAGAAAAGGAAGGAGGAAATCCGAGGACATACCCGGGCCTGCTGAGCCTTCCACAGGTCTTGATGAAGCTTCTCGAGAGCCAATGCTACAGCCTCGGCTGACAGGGCGGTCAGGAGGGGCCCTCTCTTAAAGAGTCTCCTGGCTCCATTCTGATCTGAGGAAAAGAGGAAAATACTTCTCACCTGGCTGCCACAATAAGAGGCAGTTGTCCCTCTCCAGACAGGGCCTTGGCCTTCCTGCTGGCTCCCCTCTCTCCAAAGCATCCCTTTTGGTGGTTCGTTCGTACACTTTCCATTAGCCCAGTGGTTCTCAACCTTCCTGATGCTGCGACCATTTAATACAGCTCTTCATCTCGTGGTGACCCCAACCATACAATTGTTTCGTTGCTACTTCATAACTATAATTTTACTACTGTTATGAACTGTGATGTAAATATCTGATATGCAGGATGTCTGGTATTTGACCCTAGTGAAAGGTCATTCAACCCCCACAGGCCGAGAACTGCTGTGTTAGATAATGCTGGCTGTTGGCCGCTATGCTTTCAAGTGCAAGCTGAAAATTTTCTATCATGTTTTTTTTTAAAAAAATATTTATTTATTTATTATGTATACAATATTCTGTCTGTGTGTATGGCTGCAGGCCAGAAGAGGGCACCAGACCTCATTACAGATGGTTGTGAGCCACCATGTGGTTGCTGGGAATTGAATGCAGTATCTTTGGAAGAGCAGGCAATGCTCCTAACCTCTGAGCCATCTCTCCAGCCCTTCTATCATGTTTTAAAGACAGGATTTATGGAGCCCAGGCTGGCCTGAAATTTACTAAGTACTTGAGGATGACTCTGCACTCTTAATCCTCCTATTCCAACCCCCACCTGAGCAGGCACCATGACACCCAGCAACTCACTACGGAGCTCAGGCTGGGAGCACTTAGAATCCTACAGAGCCCTGAGTGCTAGGGTTCCAGGCAGGCACCCCACATTTGGCCTAGCTCTTTATGTTTATAATCCTAGCCGGGCGGTGGTGGCGCACGCCTTTAATCCCAGCACTTGGGAGGCAGAGGCAGGCGGATCTCTGTGAGTTCGAGACCAGCCTGGTCTACAGAGCTAGTTCCAGGACAGGCTCCAAAGCCACAGAGAAACCCTGTCTCGAAAAAAAAAAAAAAAATTCTAAGGTAGGACTTTTAACACTTCCATTTTATAGTCAAGGAAAATCAAGTTCAGTCAGGTTAAATGGTTTGCCTGCTACCAGACAGACCGGGATTCAGGCTACCTGGAAGCAGCTGCAGCATTTGCCACCTTAACCTTGATGCTATTTTACAAGAGGAACTACATTCCCTTCCCTTCCCCGGGCTTCGGCCCACAAGACTTAGCTGTCATCTGGCTTCCTCACCTTTCTCAGGGCCCCACAGTGAAGGAGCAGAGTCGCCCCCGCCACTCAGCTCAGGCCGGCCCTCACATGCAGACCCCAGGGTCTGCTGCAGAACAGAGTAGAGGCTAGCCAGCTGGGCCTGGGCCTGCTTCTCTGGCTGCCGTTCTGCAGCCAGTACCTCCAGCTGGCTCTCAGTACTGTGCAGCTGCAGCTGCAGTTGGGTTGCCTTGGCCTCCTGGGCCCACAAAGAAGAACGCAGCTGCTGCTCTGTGATGCGTGAGGCCTCCAGCTCCTCCAGCAGCTGTGCTTCCCGGGCTACAAAGTTTGCCTCCTTTTCCTTCACCTCCTGCCTCAGTAGTCCCACCTGCCAGAGGAAGTAGACTCCCTGAGCAAGCAAGTGGCACCCTTTCCTCAATCCTCCCGCACTTGACCCCGGATAGGGAGGAGTCCATTGGGCCCAGCTCTGCGGCAGGTAGCAAGGGCCCTGAAATGAGTAGTTCTGACAACTGGGGGTGACCAACACTCGACACAAGGGCTCAGGCTATACTAACAGGCCCTGGCCATGTTCCCAGGAAAACAGATATGCCAGCCCCTGCAGTGATTATAACTCTGCGCTGAGACCTCAGCACGGGCTAGTCAGACTGCATGATGGCAGACCCGAGTCCCTTCTCTCTCCTTCCCAATTCCATCTCTCCTCCAGGCTCAGGTTTGGGTCTCAGTGAGCAAATTGAGAATGGAAGTCATCTTGCTGGTGTTTACCCGATCTGGGTGGGGTATTTGCTGATGCCCTCCAAGTCCCCCCTGTTGTATTTTGCCAGCCAGATAAAGCACATTTGCAAGTGATTGTGCAAGAATTCGGCCCACTTGGGTATTCTGGGAACGTTCTGTTCAAGATGTCAGGTTCCCCACAGAGGACATAGCTCATCTATCTGTAGGGTCAGGTTCCCAACTGGCCTGCCCAGCCTCACTTTTCCCCTACTGGTGGGGACGCTGAGGTCCCTAGCCTATCCCGTTCTTAGGACAAAAAAAAAAAAAAAAAACCAGCCCCTCTAAGAGCAGGGCTCAGTGGGGTACCTGTACACTGAGCTCTCTCTGCCCTTCCTGGGCCTCCTGTATGTCCTGGCGCAGGGAACTTAGCTCCTGCTGTCGAACAGAGTCGGCTTCTTGTAAAACCAGGAGCCTTCCTTCCTTTTCCACCAGCGACAGCGCCAGGCTGAAAACACAGGTTAGAGAGGTAGGGGTGAGAGCATGGGCATGGCTTGTTAAACACAAACAGCAGTGCTCACCGGAGGGTCAGTAAAAACTGTCTAGTTAACACCTACTAAGGGCTCTAAGGGCTCCTAGGAACTTCATACAAATGAGGACTCATTTCACTCAAATTTACTCTTCTCTGATAAATTATACACATATTTCAAATATATATCTGATAAATATATGCACATATTTCAAATTCACTATGTTCCCATCCCTCTGTGCTTTCAATCCCCGACCCAATCATCTCTCTCTGTCCCCTGGCTCTAGGAATGGCTCTTTCATTTACAGTCACAGCATGGAAGCCATGACCATTCCAGTTTCCTCTTCATCCTACCCACATCCAATCTATAACTGTATATAATTGGATTAACCCCATAATGTTTCTTAAGCTCTTCTCTTCTTCCCTTCCCTTCTGCTTTCTTGCCAACTCTCATTTGGACACCTACACCAGCCTCCTGACTTGTTTTTAGGACACAGTTGTCACTATTAAAGAGATCATCCCTTCCTTCTCGGATCCCTGGGGCACCGAGTGTATGCTGCTTCCCATTCTGAATGGGCTCATGCCGCTCCATGTTTCAGGCCATTTCAGTCTCTTCCAACACATTGGAAGTCTGACTATGTTGGTTTCCTTACTTGAAATCCTTACAGTTTCTTGCTAAATGTAGCCTACAAGCTCCTTCCCATGGACTTTAGCAAACGTGGTCATACCACACTGTGGCTTCACCAAACACTGAATGCTTGTGTTTGCCTCAGGCCTTCTGCTCTTCCTGAACAGAACTCTCTTTGATTGCAGGGGTGGCTCTGTTTCATTGTTTAGCATTCTGTTTGTTTATTTACTGTGTGTGTTGAGGGGGCATATGGAGGTCAAAGGACAACTCTCAGGAGCGGGTCCTCTCTTTCCATCGTGTGGCTCCTGTAGACCAGACTCAGGTCACAGGCTTGGCAGCAAGCATCCTTACCAGCTGAACCTTCTCGCCAACCCTAGTATTCAATTTATTTTTATTTTTTAAAATTTTTTGTTGTTTTTTAAGATAGGGTTTCTCTGTGTAGCTCAGGGTGTCCTAGTACTCACTTTGTACCCGTGGCCAGCCTCAGAGATCTGCCTGCCTCTGCCTCCTGTGTGGATAAAGCTGTGCATCACCATGTCTGGTTTCACATTTAGTTCAAATGAAATTTCCAGGGAAAGATTTTTTCCATATACCTTTCTAAAGCAATTTTCTCTCTCTTTCTAGTAGCACCTTATCTCTTTCCTCCATACCATATGTAATAATCTGTAACAACTTATTTAAAAAATTATTCGATTAAAAATTTCCCCATAGAACATAACTTCTATTGGGGTAGGGTCCACATTGTCATAGACAATGGTGTATAAAAGGTCTTCTCTAAACATGTATGAAATAAAACAAGCGTAAGATTTAAAGCAGAGACCATGTCCACTCTCGACGGCTCCAAGTGTAGCCAGAGTGAGGCATGGGGAGGGAACCTTGTGCAGAAGAGCCAATGCCACTGTGACCACCGTGTGGAAGGCAAGCCACCCCTCTGGCTTTCCAGCCTACCTGGCTTTTTCTTTCTCCAGTTCCTTCTGAATCCGACTACACTCCTGAGCTTCTTTCACCTTCTCTTGAATCTCCTGTCTCACCAGTCTGTGGGAGTCATCCTGGGTTACCAGCTGAGACTTCAAGTCCTCTACCTGGAAGGTTATGAGCAAGAGGCTGAGATGGCAAAGCTCAGGGAGCCAGGTGGGAAGACGATTCCACCTAGGGCTTTAGGCTCCTACACCAGTCAGAGGCCTGTCTCCACATTCCGGAGATTTCACTGGTCCCTACACTACCTTGTTTTCTTTTAACATTTACTGTGTATGCAAACACTCAAACACATGCTACGATATGCTAGTGGAGGTCAGTAGACAATTGGTAGACAATAGTTCTGAACTATCTAACTGCACGCATGCACACACACACCATTCTTTTCCTTTCCTTTTTTTTTTTTTTTTTTTTTTAAAAAAAAAGACAGGATTTCTCTTTATAGTCTGGCTGTCCTGGAACTTGCTCTGTAGATCAGGCCGTCCTGAAACTCAGAGATCCACCTGCCTCTGCCTCCTGAGTGCTGGGATCAAAGGTGCCACCAAAAGCTGGCTTCATACCCCGTTCTTTTTTTTTTTTTTTTGTTTTGTTTTGTTTTTCAAGACAGGGTTTCTCTGTGGTTTTGGAGCCTGTCCTGGAACTAGCTCTTGTAGACCAGGCTGGTCTCGAACTCACAGAGATCCGCCTGCCTCTGCCTCCCAAGTGCTGGGATTAAAGGCATGCGCCACCACCGCCCGGCTCATACCCCGTTCTTAATCATTCTCTTCTCCCAGACCCTTCAGCCTATTGGTCTCCACAGCCTTATAAATGCTATATAAATGCAGACACAAATAAGAATCTTGGCTGAACACAACTATACCAAAAGGCAAAGTGATGGGCAAGACCACAGTGACCGTACACACACACACATACTTTTTTTAAAAATAAAAACTCAGAACATCCTCTGCTATTGGACTCTGAGAAGCAAAAGTCATGTGGTAATACAGGTTTAGGTGAGGACAGGAAGGACAGCTGACACTGGCTTGTCTTAAGAAGTCTGCTTATGGTCACTCCAAAGATAACAGTGGTCCCAGTATCCTGTGACATCTCCTCTGGATATCCAAGTTTGCAGAAGTTTATATAAACCATTAAATATAGCGGTATCTTTGCTCTGTAAATATGGTGTGTGTGTGTGTGTGTGTGTGTGTGTGTGTGTGTGCGCGTGTGCATATGTGCAAATGTGTGTGTGTATGGAGGTAGAGGTTAATGTGAGTCTTCCTCTATCATTCCCACCCTTCTTTTTAGAGGCAGGGTTTTCCTCTTCCTAAACCTGATGGTAGGTGGACTCCAGGGAACCCTGTCTCTGCCTCTTCAGTCCCAGTATTTTCAGCACATGCCACTGCACCCAGCTTTTCACATGGGGGCTGGGAATCTGAACTCAGACCCCTATGTACATGCGGCAGGCACTATATCAAATCAACTGAGTCAGCTTCCTAGCCTGTTCTTGTTTTAGAGACAGAGACCCACGATGCAGTTTGGGTTGACTTCAAACTCAACAGTTCTCCTGCCTCAACCTCTTAAGTGCTGGGATTAAACTATATAGTGTTTGATTATAACCTATTCACATTCTCCTATATATTTTAAATAATCTCCATATTACTTATCATATTGAATACAATGTAAACAGTACCTAATGCAATGTAAACACTATGTAAACATTACTTAGTGAATAAGAAAAGGTCTGTATATTTACAGTACAATGTCCTCCCAATATTTTCAGTTGGCCGTTGGTAGAATCTGTGGATAAGGAGTGCTAATAATACAATCCCAGAACTCTGAGAGGCATATGCTCAGCTCTGAACACCCTTCAACTCTTGCACTTATTTCTGTAGCCTGTCCTTGACCTGCAGGGGTTGACTGTGCTGGGAAGGGCTGTGGGGCAGGTAGAAAGGACAGACCTGCTTCTGCAGATCTACCCTGTCCTTCTGGAAGGCGGCACACTCCTCCCTGTGCTGCTGGGCAGCCTCCTTCAGCTCCTGCTTTGCTCCCTGGAGCTGGGTCTGCAGCATGCTGGTGGTCTCCTGCAAAGGAGAAAGGTTCAGTGAGTGCAGAAAAGCTTCCACAGGAGCTGGCTCCCCAGATCTGCGGTGTATGAACACCGTTCGCTCCTATTGAGTTGGCAAAGCTGAGGCAGGAACTAGCAATTCATAGTTTCCCCCTCTATTTTCACACCCTATTTCTCCTTCCACATGACTGTATGGGCTCAGCCCAAGTTTGTGACTGACACTAACCCAGACCCCCTAACAGCCTCCTAAACAAACCCCTCCTTCCATTTAATTGCATACATGCGTGCACATACTTCCATTTAGTCAAGTACTGTATTAAAAGATATCCTGACTAGGCATGGTGGCACATGCCTTTAATGCCAGCACTAGAGAGGCAGAGGCAGGTGGCAGATACATAATACAGAGACCATGCCTCAAAAATATATTCTAGGCTGGCATTGTAATTTAGTAGCTGAACATTTGCCTAACATGTACAAGGCTCCAGGCTTGATCCCCAGAACTACAGAAAGATAATGATAATAAAAGAATAAATACTTAAATATGTATATAGAAATATATAAAATGATGTATCATGGGGATTGGAGAAATGGTCACTGGTTAAGAGTACTTTTCTCTTGTAGAATACCTAGGTTCAATTCCCAGTACCCACATGGAGGCTCTTAACTGTCTGTAACTCCAGTTACAGGGGATCTGACATTCTCTTCTGGCCTCTGCAAGTACCAGGCATGCACATGGTATATATATACATACATGCAAGTACAGCACTCATACACATAACATAAAAATAAATAAATCTTAAAAAAAAAAATATCACGTGTTCTCCCTGCTCTTAAAATACCAGTCACCAGTTTTCCACTGGCCTCAAAACAAAACCCGAGCTCCTGCTATGGCTAGAGAGGCCCCTCTCATCCCCTCCCCTCTCTCCTGTACTATCCCCAAGTTTGTCCACTAGAGCCATGCACATCTTTTTGTCCTTGAATTTCCCAAGCCCCTTTCTGTCTATTACAGGGCCCTATGACAGTGAAATCATGTGCATATTGTGTCCTTCAAAAACTACCCTCAGTGGGTACAGGTGCTTGCTGCCAAGTGCAATAGCCTGAGGTCAATGCCAGGGTCCTATATGGTGGAAGGAAGGAACCAACTCCTACATGCATGTCATGCCATATGCACACGCATATACACATATACACAGAACAACAACAAAAAAAAAACAACTAAAACCGCCTCCTCCTAGTAAGCCCTGAGGTTTGATCCTAAACAATACGTAAAACTGGGTTTTGTGGTTCACACCCGTAATCCTGGCGTTTAGGAGGAGGCAGAAGGACCAGACCCAGGAACACCTTCCATACCTGCTCCTGTAACTTCTGAACCTTCATGTCCTGCCTCAGCCTCTCCAACTGCTGAGTAGCATCTGCCAGCTCCTTCTGGGTCTGCAGCAGCGTCTCCAGGAGGGACACTCTCTCCTTCTCTGTTTCCAGCTGCATCTGTGGACAGGCAGGAAGGGCAAGGGTTTCAAGGCTCCGGATTATCATGCTGACCTGGGAGGCCATAAGCCTATCACACCTGTTCCAAGTTCTTCCAACAAATAGGATGGGGGCTCAGAGCAAAGGAAAGTCTAAGACCATTTACATAGAACCAGGAAGTGCCAAGATTGCCACTGGTTTGCAAGCACACAGGATGTGGTAAACGCTGGCCCTCCCTCAGGAAGTATGACATACTGCCTGCTGCAGCTAACTACTACTAGCCCACTCATGAGCAGCGCAGCAGTAGCTACACTCTCTTCAGGAAGCCCCGCTGAAGCCTGCTGTTAGGAACGGGAAAGTGGGAAGACTGGGGAAATCACAGGTGGCAATCCTAATAGTCCAGCTGCTTACTTGGTACAGGGCGCTGTCAGCCTGGGTTCGCTCCTCTTCCCTCTGGGCGTGGAGAGCTTCGGTTTCTGTCTGTTGCTCTCTCAGCCTCGCTTCCAGCTCTGTTCTCTCCCTCTCTAGGGTCTCCAGGGTCTTATCCAACTCCTGCTGAAGCAAGGAGCGCTCTTTCTCCTGACCATGTGAAGGAAGCCACAGTTAGAAGCAGAGGGTGAGCAGAGGAGGCAGGAGAGCTTGTTTGGAGTTCAAATCTCTGCACTGCCTCATGTGACTTAGGGACAGCTGAACATTTCTGAAGGGAGGCTTGGTGATCCCTGCCTTATCAGTCTCACTAAAACTCAAGGGTCAAGTGAGATTTGTGTTTTAAAAAATGATGTATAGGCCAGACAGTGGTGGCGCACGCCTTTAATCCCAGCATTCAGGAGGCAGAGGTAGGTGGAACTCCGTGAGTTCGAGGTCAGCTTGGTCTACATAGTGCGTTCCAGGATAGTCAGGCTGTTACACAAATAATTCCTGTTCTCAAAAAAACTAAACAAAAACAAAAAAAGTAGAACAGTAGTATAGAATATCAATCACAGAACCATCGTAAATGACAAACCTTACATTTGGGTTCAGAAAGCCAACTGCAAACATATATGAAAGATGAATTTTAATGGTAACAAATGCTTAAAAAAACCTAGAACAAAATTAAGCTATTTGCTCCATTCTGTGATGTCAAAACAGGAAGCAGTAGTCTATCACTGCTGGTTAGACTATGACCAGAATATTTTGCTATTCAAAGTGCCACATTCTGGGACAGCAAGATGGCTCAGAAAGTAAAAGAACTGGCTGCATCCGCTTGAGGACTCGAGTCCCACCCTCAGAATCCACACTGGAAGGAGAACCAACTTTCAAAGCCATCAAGTGCTAGTAATCCCTAAGCTGGAAGTTTGGCCTTAGGAGCCCCAACCTCCTCCACGCTGGGATTTTTAACTGGCTTGATCTTGTAGGTGCTGGGAACCAAACATGGGTCCACTGAAGAACAGGAACTGCCTCCTGGGTTCTGGATTACAGACATGCTCTAAGTACCACATATGGCTTTTGACTATTGGTTACTTGCCTTTAAGTATTTATTTTTCTGTGTGTACGCATGCCATGTAAGTGTGTGTGCGCAGGGGCCGGGGAAGGCTTTAGGACCTCTAGAGCTGGCTTTCAGACAACTGTGAATCACCTGAAGTGGGTGCTAGGAACCTCTCTAGCGCCTTGACTTTAAGGCGGGTTTGCTAGCAAATGGCAGGCAAAAGTTCGCCCACTTCTAGAATTATGTGCCTTGAAAACAATTGTTGAACAGTGTCTACAAGGTTCCTCTACTAAGAACCAAGCATAATACCCACTAAAAACTCCAAAGTAAAAGATATTATAAACCTCTCACGAGCTAATGGCCTCAGTTTCCCTGGAAGGACTAACTGTCATGGTGGTCCCTTCTCTTTTCCTTTCCACACTTAGATAATCCCCGCTTCTGACTGTCTGGCTTTACAATCTTCCTGATGATTAAAAGGAAGATTGCTCTCTTACAACTTTTTTTTAAATTTAAATTATAATTTTCTTAAAGATTTATTGTTTATGTATACAGTGTCCTGCCTTTATGCCATAACAGGGCACCAGATCTCACTATACGTGGTTGTGAGCCACCATGTGGTTGCTGAGAATTGAACTCAGGACCTCTGGAAGAGCAGCAGAGATCTTAACCTCTGAGCCATCTCTCCAGCCCAAACTTAAATAAAGTTTTAGAGCGGGACTCACTAGGCAATCCTGTCCTGGAACTCACTCTGTAACCAGGCTGGCCTCAAACTCAGAGATCCACCTGCCTCTGCCTCCCCAGTGCTAGGATTAAAGGAGTGCTCCATCACTTCTGGAAGTTTCTTTGCATTTTGAAAAAGGGTATCCCTTGGTAACACAGATAGCCTTGAACCCACAAACCCACAAGCCTCCTGTCTTCTGAAAGCTGGGATTATAGTTGGGCTCTGCTATGGCTACTTCCATGGTCCACGCTTAATTCTTTATACATACCAATCAAACAAACAAGCAACACACATAGAGAGAGAGAGAGAGAGAGAGAGAGACAGACAGACAGACAGACAGATAGATACAGGGCTCACACTATGCCAAGAACCAGTCTTAGTATTTTTCATGTTAATTTACTTAATAGCTAGAAGTTGTTCAAGTCTGAGGCCCACTAGGCCACGAGGAGGTACCCTGTCTCAGAAAAGAGACGCTGAAGTAGAGACAGAGACAGGTATTCTGGGATTGAGGATTCTAAAACTGGATTTTATACTTTGGTGATCAAATTTCATTCTTCTAAGCAGTAGTAACTGGACCAAGAGACATCAGAGGGCAGACTCACTGAAGGGGGGCCACGTCTGCCTCTCCTATCCCCAACCACGTCCGTCACCTACCCATTTCTCTTGGAGCCTGTTCACCTCCTCCTCATGGGCCACCTTCTGTCGCTCCAGAGCGGCCTGCCCCTCTTGTTCAGCTTGGGCCAGCTGCCTGGCTACTGCATCCCGCTCCTGCTCTGCCCGGCTCCTCTCGGCATCCAGTTCCAGTTTCAGGCACTTCACTTCCCCTAGGATGCCAGGCAAGACCACCTCTGAGCCTCTGCCCCACTCTGTTTACCTAACAATACTCTCCATCCCAGTGGGCTCTCACCTTGAATGACTTCCTTGGCTTGAGTAATAGTTTGAATCTGGATCTCCAATTGACCCTTGGTGACCTCGATGACAGAATTTTGCTGTTGGGCTTCAAAAAGATTGCTCTCCAGCTGTTCCTTGGCTGACCTGAGATTTGGGAATTAGGAAGAGTTCTAACCCATCAAGCCCCTTACCCTTTCTTAGGAGGGACTGGAGCAGGACAGGCTACAAGAAGTTATGGGGGCAACTGCATGTCTACAGCTCATTGAGAATTCATACTCTTAGGACAGGGAGCTCTGCTTAGCCTTGCAACGCTCTCTGTGCTTGCCTGAGCTAAGTGTGGACCCTACCTGAGCCCCAGAACTTGTTCAGTGAGGTCATGTCGGTCCCGCTCCACAGCCTGCAGGCGCACCTCAAGAGCTGCCCTCTCCCGTACGAGGGCCTCTTTCTCCAGGACTGCTCTAGCAAGTGTTTCTTCCTGTCGCTCTGCATCCTGATGCAGCTGCTCTAGCTGAGCTGTAGCTGCTTCTTGCTGGTGATGTACCTGAGGAAAACGATGAGCTACAGAGTGAGGCAGAACCCCAGGGCTGCTGCCATCAGGTCAGCGCGAGGGGTTTTTGAAGATTCTGGACTCAGCACTGAACATTGCTGACTCAGGAATAACTGGTGTTTGTTTATTTCCTTGATCAAGAGGCCTAGGGCAAAAAGGATGCTCTCCTATGAGTGAGACTCTGTGCTGAGGACAGCAGAACCCATATATACACCAAGAACCTGATTAATATCTGAGAAGGGACTCTTTAAAGTTATTTATTTATTTGTTTGTTTATTATGTATACAGTGTTCTGCCTGCATGCATACCTATTCCCCAGAAGAGGGCACCAGATCTCATTATAGATGGTTGTGAGCCACCATGTGGTTGCTGGGAATTGAACTCAGGACCTCTGGCAGAGCAGTCAATGCTCTTAACCTCTGAGCCATCTCTCCAGCCCCTGAGAAGGGACTCTTAAGAAAGGATTATGTTCAAGTATTAGGACAATGAGAGGTTTGGTAGGAAAAGCAAGACTGTCATCATTAACTTTCATTGTCAGTTTGGTGATTTAGAATCACCTAGGAGAGGGCTGGAGAGATGGCTCAGTAGTTAAGAGAACTGACTTCTCTTCCAGAGGCCCTGGGTTCAATTCCCAGCACCCACATGGCAGCTCACAACTGACTGAAGACCCAGAAATATAAGTGCGTGACCACCATAGACTCACCTAGGAGATACACCACTGGGTGTGTCTGTGAGGGCATTAATAGAGGGAAAACCACCTGAATATGGATGGCACCATCCCATGGGTGGAGTCTCAGACTCAATTAAAAGGGCAACAGGAAAAAGCCCAGCAGACACTTCATTTCCCCTTCTCTGCCTCCTGGTGGCTAAGATGCAAGCAAGTAGCTGCCACAAACCCTGGCCACCATATAGACATCTGCTGGCATGCTTTCCCACTAGGGAGGGCCAAAAACCAAACCAAGAAAAAGACAGAGAGACACAGCCTTAGCTGGACATGGTAGCTAATAATCTTAGCACTCAGGAGGCAGAGGCAGGTGGACACTGCAACCTGCCTGGTCTACATAACGAGCTCCAGGCCAGTAAGGACTGCAGAGTTAGACTGTCTCAAAAGACGAAAATAAATAAACAAGTAAACAATAGAGCTGGCCTTTAGGACAGCAAACAAATAATCACAGCATGAGAGCTGTAGATGTTTGAACCGAGTATGAAGACTATAGGGAAGACCATGCAGGAATAGGGAGTGGGGGATCAGTGAAGGACTCTGATACCTCACTCACACTAAGTCACTCCTTCTGCTGACAGTGAGCGTGTTTCACACTGTGGGGACAGTACATTGACAATACGATGTCCTCTCACCTCGCTTAACTTCTCTTTAAGTTCTTCCTTTTCTTCTCGGACACTCTTCAGTTCTGCCTGTAGTTCAGCCCCTGTCTCCTCCGCCTTCTGCAGCTGAGCCTGCAGCTGAGTTTTCGTCTCCCACAGGGCTTCCCTGCGCCTTTCTGCCTCCGCCAGGTCCACCTGCAGAGCACTTCTCAGGTGCTCAGCCGCCTCCACTCTGCCGCACACAGACTGGTTCTCCTGCTCCAACTACTGGCCAGAAAGAGAAGGGAGTGCAGCACACCAAAGCTAAGTGGGTACAGTTCGCTCCCCCGCGCTTCTGCAGCTCTGCACAGAGTGCTTTTAAGAGAAGGGGAGACCCAGCCATTTGATCTGGTGTTTATATTCTAGGCACCATATGGGCCTGATGCTGGGATTAAGATTGAAAAGGCGAACTCTTGCTTCCAAAAAATTCAGAGTAACACCGGGTAGCGGTGCAGGTCTGTGATCCCCACACTTGGGAAGTGATGGAGGATCAGAACAGCCTTGGTAGCATGAAACAGGGTCTCAACAAACAAACAAAACACCCAGAATAAGGACATTTCTGGGTCTCAGGAGAACGGGAAACAAGAAGTTTTCCCTACTAAAATGAGAGGTTAAATTTTTAACCAACAGAGGTGATTTGGGGGCACTTGGGCTAATGGCTAATCATCAGGTAAGGCCCAGCCCCTCCTGGAATCAAATCTTTGCTCACCTGGAGAAGCTGCTGGTTCAGTCCCACTTTATCTAAAGCCAAAGCCTCATTTAAGGCCCCAAGCTTGGCAGCTGCAGCTCTAAGATCAGCTACCTCCGCCTTCAGGCTGTTCTCGGAAGCTGACAGATCTGCAATGGACTGTTCTGCCTAAAACAAAAGGGTTAGTACTTTCTGCTTTCAGTTTTCACAGAACAGTAAACCGTACACACTCCCAATACCTGCTTTCATTTGTAAAATATCATCCACCTCTTCCCTTCCATTCTAAACAAGGTATTCATTCATTCATCCATCCATCCATCTATTCACGAGAAAGGCACTCACAGCACAGAAACACAGAAAGCTGTGCAAACTACAATTGTCACGACAGTACAGAAAGTATAAGCACAACTGAGAACTCAAAGGAGGCATTCATTCAGTTTGGGAGAGCAGAAAATGCTTGGGACAAAGAACAGTGACAGGGAGATGGTGCTTGGGAGTCAAGGTGACGGAAACGTGTATCCAGTGTATTAGTCATGAAGGAAGGTGACCCGAGAGTGCAGCTGATGCTTTGTGCAAGAGAAAGGATACCTGGAGTGTGGGGGGCTCGCGCAGGTAGGCCAGAAATAGTTGAAGCAGATGTCAAAGGGTGTTGAATGTGGTACTAGAGTTGAGAAGCCATTGATTTTTTTAAAGACATATATACATATTTTTTAATTAATTAATTAGCTTGTTTGTTTGGTTGGTTGTTTTTTCAAGACAGGATTTCTCTGTGTAGCTTTGGAGCCTGTCCTAGAACTCGCTCTGCAGATCAGGCTGGCTCGAACTCACAGAGATCCAACTGTCTCTACCTTCTGAGTGCTGGGATTAAAGGCATGCACCACCACCACTCTGATAAAGACTTATATTTTTAAATCATGTTTATATATGTCTCTGTGTCTCTTTTCTTGTGAATGAATAAATGTATAAATATGAGTGTTATGTCCATGACGTTGAGAAGAGGACATCAGAGTCTCCTGGAGTGACAGGCAGCTGTGAGCGCCTGATGTGGATGCTGGGAAGTGGACTCAGGTCCTCTGCAAGAGCAGTATGCGCCTCCAGCCCGCACAGGGCAACTTTAAGAGACTCACAACCACATTGACAAAACTGACTGAATGTCATGTAGAGGGCATGTTGGGAGGGGGAGGACCCAGAAGCACACTAGCGATTGAAGAGAAATAGATGAAGATTTGAAGTCTGAAGGGTGAAAAATGAGCCATCCAGCCCTTCTACTGGGAACACGACTTTCCAAGGGAGAAGGCCGACATACCCTGGCCAAGGCTGCAGTCACTTCCACTCGCTCTTGCCTCAGTAACTCTCCTTCTAGGCGGCTTGACTCCAGGGCTTCTCGAAGAGTAATCAGCTCACTGAGTGATTCTGACTGTTTGGCTTCCATGCTCACCAGCGTCTCCTGACTAAGAAGGAAGGAGAGGGAGTTACGGAGTGTATGGGAGTGTTTGTGTCCCAACAGGACATGGGAGTCTAATTATTTTTTCTATTAAAAAAATGGGGAATTATCTTCTAAAAACTAATAAGGAAAGCTCTCAATGACACAGCAGGTGAGAAGAGCAAAGCGCATAGCAGTGTTAGTGTACTGCCTTTCGTACAAAAGTGAGAGGAAGCAGACTATCTGCACGAAGTGGACTGGAAAGACCAACACGAGGGGCTGGAGAGATGACTTAGTGGTTAAGAGCACTGACTGCTCTTCCAGAGGTCCTGGGTTCAATTCCCAGCACCCACATGGCAGCTCACAACTGTCTGAAGATCCAGTTCCAGGGGATCTGACACTTCACACCAATGTCTTAAATAAACCATAAAAAAATTAAAAAAAAAAAAGACAAACACGAAATTAACTGAACCGGTGACCAACAGAAGACAGGAGAGGAGGATGGAACGAGCAAAGATGGAGACCTCCCTATGTGCATCTTCTTAAATAGGTGGGATTTTTGTTGTTTATTGTGACAGGGTCTTGCTCTGCAGCCCAAGCTGGCTTTGAACTCAGAGCAATCTTCCCAAGTGTTGGGATTGTAAGTGTGAGCCAATATACCCTGGTATCTTTTTAAACAGCTTTAACTTTTGATTATCTAACTATATATCGAGTCAGATAGATTACATTTTTTTGTTGTTGTTTCTGAGACAGGGTTTCTCTGTAGCATTGGAGCCTATCCTAGAACTCACTCTGTAGACCAAGTTTGACTTGAAGTCACAGAGACCCACTTGTCTCTCCTTCCCGAGTGCTGGGATTAAACGCATGCGCCACCACTACCCAGGATAGATCACATTTTAAACACATATGTATCTGTGTGGATTGTCTGCTGTGCCCTCAGTGCAGAACATGCGGCATGACCCTACCCTTTGGCAGACCTTCGAGCTTCCTCAAGCTTCCACTGTTTACTAACTAGACGCAAGGAATAAGGCACAGGAAGGGACCACGCCAAGGAACGAGCTGCTACCAGGGCTCTGCTGGCATTAAAAAATGAGTTCACAGTTGGCCTGGACTACAGATGAGACCCTGTCTCAAACAAACAAGAAATTAATTAAATTTACTTGTGTGTGAGGAGGGAACCACAATGCACACATGGAGGTCAAAGGACAATCTATGGGGTCAGTGACTGAACTCACTGTGAGCCATCTTGACAGCTTATGCTAGCATTTTGTGAAGTATTGCCCATTTTTCCAGTAACTCTTCAAATATCATCTCTATTTTGCCAAGAGAATAATCCATCCTGGCTGCAAAGCCATAATCTGCACCAAGCCTTTGTCCTGCTCTACAGTTCCTTTCTGCAGCATCACCTAGTGGACTTTACAGGTTAGCTGGGGTCATGACCCTGGCTTCCCTTCCTGACCAGTGACTTTCCTATCACTTCCCAGCGGTCTTACCTTTCCACAGCCAGCTAACTCTGAACACACCGCAACTCCTATTCCTTTTCTTTGCTATTCTGTCCCCTTGGTCCTTTTTCCTACAAATTAAAACAGGTCAGGGCCCTGCTCAAAGTCTACCCCTCCTCCATAAAGTTGTCCCGGCTCTCGATATTAACTATTGCTCCTGTTCTTCCAAAACACCAAGCTCGAGCTCTTGTGCGGCGTATGTCTTCTAGCTTTCATGTCATGGCTGTCTGCCTGTCCGACTTCTCATTAGATTTCAAGATCCTCGAGACCATGGCCAGCATCTTTACTCGTTTTTGTGGCCCTCACAGCCCCATACCCTACAGGGACTCAGCAGCATCTGATGACTTTCCACCTCAGCTCCCTACAAAGGAGGAAGTAGTGAGCTAAGGTGAACCACGTGCACTCGACTTCCTAAGAGAAGGATAGGGTAAGGAAGGCCAGGCCCTGGTGACAGGGGCCCAGTCACACTCACAGACGTTCCTTCTCGCGGACAGCCATATGCAGCTCCTCCTGCTGCTCCTGCTTCTCCCCCTGAGCAGAGTCCCCCTGCAGCTGCAGTTCCACATTGGCTCTCCGCAGCCGCCACGCTTCCTGCTCCAGCACCTCCAGCTGCTGCTGCAGCTCTGCCCTGGCCTTCTGCAGCAGTTCTCGCTCCCTGAAATACAGATCGGAGATGTCCAGGCCTGGGGATCAAAGATCCTGGTGGAAAAAGACCTAGTAGAGCAAAAGGTGAGAGAAGCTTGTTTCTTAACATTTATAAAAATATATAATGCTTTTTTCAAGCAGAAAACCATTTATTATATGATTTTAAAGACACCAACACAAAAAGGTTTTCCCACAAAAGATAGAATAAAAACTAAAGCAGCCTTAAGCATCATTAATGGATCCAGGGACAAAGACAGGACAGTGCTGGGTAAGTGGCTAAATGAGGACTAGAACTAGACACTTAAGAACTAAGAATGCAGTTCAGTCATAAGAGTGCTTTCCTAACAAGACTAAGGATCGGGGTTTGATTCCCAGCCCTGCAAAACCATCAGTAAAACCAGACATGGAATAAAATAAAATTACGAAGGCTTTGCTTTCCAAAAACCAGACACGAAAGGGAGGAACAAGCAGCCTGCTCACTCACTTGCTGAGAGAGTCCACCTCTCCCTGAAGGTCCACAGTCTGCCCTGCCAGAGCATCCCGCTCTCCAGTGAGCTTGTGTAGCTTTTCTCTCAGGGCTTTGCCCTCCTCCTTCCACTGATTGTGCTGCTGCTGCAACAAGCTCATCGTCTCCTGGCAGCCTGAAAGCTGCTGCCTGAGGTCCTGTGAAAGGAGAGCCACAGAAACGGGATGCAGAGCAAAGAACCAACACCAAACAAGTGACTCCAAGGCAAGGGGACCGGAAACAGTAACAACAGCCAGCTGAGATCAGAAATGTGGCCAAGTGAGATGTCAAAGAACCAAGGGTTCCTGGGTTCTGTGGCTCTAGAGTCTTGGAGACCACCATCTTCAGACAGAGTAGCATAAGGGACAGCAAGGGCTGCTTGGAGTTGGGGACATTTACACTCTCCCAGGACTCTGCTTAGTAGCACTCAAAGATACATGCAACTGGTGTGGACAATACAGACACCTGTAGGTCACAGGCACCACTGGGCAAACAGAGAAATTAGTGTGCAACCGAACACAGTATGAGTGCCAGCCGAAAGGGATACTCCAGACTCGAGAGACATGCCCTGGGCACCTGTCCCTGGGGCCGAGGAGCAGCTCTGGAGCTTCTCACCTGTACAGCCTGCTGTCTCCGAGTCAGCACCGAGCGCACCAGAGTAAGAGCCTTGTCTGGGTCCTGGAGATCAAACGGGGAGAAGCCGCTACAGTCCAACTGCAATGAGCCCTCATGATCTGAGCTTTGGGTCATAGTGTCCTCTTCTTCCACTGAGGCCTGAAATGCAACCACGTGTCACCAAGAGACTTGCATTACAGATCAGAGGAGCCTGAAGGTTTCCTTTGCAGGTCCTATTCCTGAGGCAGGAACCCTAAGAGCAAAAAATGACTGGTCTCTTCAACTCTTCATGTTTGGTCACCCAAGCAATAAGACTACAATCGTCTATGGGCAGTAAGTGAGGGGAAGGGAAAGAAAATGCTGTTGCAATGACAAAGACAGAATTCAGCCTATGGCCTAAGAACCAGAACAAGAAACAAGATAGAGGACCTTTCCACTACACAGGGTCAGGACATGAATGCTTACCTATACTCAGGGTCCCAATCTTCAAGTCCCTGAGAGAACTTATCCTACATGATGACCCTCAAACCAAACCTCAGTCTAGAAATCAAGGCAGCAGAGAGGACACGGGGAAGGGGGCACTGTCCAGGTGCAGAGAGGACACGGGGAAGGGGGCGCTGTCCAGGTGCAGAGAGGACACGGGGAAGGGGGCACTGTCCAGGTGCAGAGAGGACACGGGGAAGGGGGCACTGTCCAGGTGCAGAGAGGACACGGGGAAGGGGGCACTGTCCAGGTGCAGAGAGGACACGGGGGAGGGGGCACTGTCCAGGTGCAGAGAGGACACGGGGGAGGGGGCACTGTCCAGGTGCAGAGAGGACACGGGGAAGGGGGCACTGTCCAGGTGCAGAGAGGACACGGGGGAGGGGGCACTGTCCAGGTGCAGAGAGGACACGGGGAAGGGGGCACTGTCCAGGTGCAGAGAGGATACGGGGAAGGGGGCACTGTCCAGGTGCAGAGAGGACACGGGGAAGGGGGCACTGTCCAGGTGCAGAGAGGACACGGGGAAGGGGGCACTGTCCAGGTGCAGAGAGGACACGGGGAAGGGGGCACTGTCCAGGTGCAGAGAGGATACGGGGAAGGGGGCACTGTCCAGGTGCAGAGAGGACATGGGGAAGGGGGCACTGTCCAGGTGCAGAGAGGACACGGGGAAGGGGGCCCTGTCCAGGTACAGAGCACTCACAAGCGCCTGAGTTATAGCCTTGATCACATGCTGTAGAGACAGCTTTTCCTCTTGAGCACTCCTACTGAGAGAGGCCTCTTGCTCCATTAGCTCTGCGTGGTTTGTCTCCTGGTAAAGGAACAGAAGAGAGTCTGAGAGCCAAACTCTGCAAGGAGAATTCACCATTCTTGTCCACAAATCCATCAAGACATATTCTATTTCGTCAACCACACTTTCCCAAGGAGTCTGAAAACAATGTAATATGGCAATAAAAGGCTCAGAATAAATGATCAGAAATCTAAATGACTGCCTGGATTAAAGTTCTTGTTCTATCAGCGGGAAATACTACAACAGCCTTGGAAAACCAGAACTCTGCACTCTGATGTAACTCATTCTGTTACTTGAGTCCTGTGGATGTCTGTGTTGGCACATTCCTGTTAAGAAGGAATTAAAGGGGCACAAGTCAGCCTTCTAGTGGACTCCAACACAGATGAGACTAGGGGAACACATGTGGATAGGGGTGCAGAGCTGCCAAAAGTCGATGACCAGAAAACGTGCTGAGATGAAAGGCAACTCGGAATTGAGTCAGGGACTCTGCCATCCCATGGTGGAGCAGCACTTCTGTGACATCCTGACAGACGTTTAAGTCAGTGAGCACAACCACACTCTTCATAAGACACACACCACTCCAGTGACAGCTCCAGCTTGAGCCAAAACCTACGACCTCATCTGCAACCTCCACCGCTGGTGATGGCTCTACGCTGGAGAACATGAATGGCTTTCCGCCATCGACTCTCCTTTCAGAGACGTGAAGGCAGTAAGCCTACCTTGCTCCAGGGTAAGCAGTCTCCCATGTGACTTGGTTTTTCAGCTCTCCACAGATCCCTTCCTTGATACCTTGCTCATTCCCACCCCTTCAGCTTTCCTTAGGGTCTCGTGTAGCTCACACTGGCCTCAAATTCACTATGACAAGTCTCTCTCAGACAGGACACATTTCATATCTATGCCACTGTGTTTCCCCAGGATTACAGTCAGGATAGTGGACAGTTGTTTTACTGAACAGGAAAATGAATGAGTTAACTAATTTTCAGATTTGGCCAAAGTTCACTTTCCAGCTTTGGAGGATTCATCAAGGACCATCTAACGGGCGCCATTCACTACTGTCCACAAAGGACAAGGAACCTGTCAACCCACGCAGCTCCTTTGCAACCCAGGATCACATACCAGGATCTCCATCGTCTCTCTCAGACCCTTCACCATCTTCTCATAATCTTCATTCTGCTTCTGAGACTGGGTCAGCAGAGCAGAGAGCTCTGTTACTCTGAGGAAAGAGGCATAGCACTGTCTCCTGGATAGCCCAAGGACACGGGCAAAGTCACACGTAACACACCTCAGCCCCACACGGACACTCCCACTGCAGCTCCCAGAATCCCTTGGGCATGCCCAGTCCTTTTACTCCCTGAATAACATCTGACTCTAGAGTTCTGATCTGGTGGGGAAAGCCAAAAGCCACTCAGACACATGCAGGGATTTACCACATCTCAAGACTGGAACACGCGTTTGTGGGCCCGAGAGCTGAAGGAAAGCCCTGGCCTAGGCCATTCCAGGCCTTGCTTGATTGTGAAGTCAAGCACCCTGAAGCCAATAAGAACATCAGAATTGACACCACAGGGGATAGTCCCAAGGTCCCTCCAGCCCAAGGTTTTGACTCTGATAGGGAAAAAGGACAGATGACTTGGGAGACAATATAGCTAATGATGCCCAGCAAAATTATCAGCAGCTCTATCATTTAACAATGCATCTCAGAGCTTTGGGAGCAGTATTACACTCATGCCTTTCTTTCCTCTTTGTTTTTGTTAACTATGTAGCCCAGTCTTGCCTGAAATTCTCTATGTAGTCTAGGATAATCCTGAACTAGAAATCCGCCTGCCTCAGCCTCCTGAGCACTAGGATCGTAGGCATGAGCCATGACACCTGGCTAACAAATATGTCTTAAATTAATGTTACCTAGGAGTCTTTATTTATCTATTCATTCACTCATTCATTTATTCACTTTGGAGGCAAGCTCTCACTACATAGCCCTGGTTGGCCTCGAATTTGCTGTGTAGACCAGGCTTATAGAGAGTTCAAGCCAGCTTATAACTCTAAAGAGCTGGGATTAAAAGTGACAACTACCAGTCAGGCAGTAGTGGCATGTGCCTTTAATCCCAGAACTCAGGAGGTCTCTGAGTTCGAGGTCAGCCTGGTCTATAGACTGAGTTCCAGGACAGCCAGGGCTACACAGAGAAACCCTTTCTTGGGACAAAAAACAAAAACAAAAACAAAAACAAAACAAAACAAAAAACAATAAAAGTAATGACTACCACACCTGGCTAAAAGAAAATTTTAAACCTTAATAATTTTATTATGAATCATGAATCACCTCTGGGGGCCTAGATCACTCTATTGTCTTTTATTTAAATATTGTGTCATTCAACAAATAATTATCTATTATATGAGAGATAAAGTACAAAACATTAAAGATACAAACTTAGTAAGATATGATCTTTGTTCTTAATGTTTCCAAAAGCAAAAAGAAAACAAAATTGTCCCCAGTTTATGTACACACCAACTTATGTCCCACCAATAGATAGGGACAGAACCCTAGCCATGACACACAGACTGTGCCTTGATAGTCAGTGGCACTTTACTCATGTCTTCCCTTCTTATTATTTTAAAAACCCCAACTTATTATAATCCAAAAGTTAAAATAGCCAAGGTAGGATATAGCTCAATGGTAGAGAGTTTGATATGCAAGGCCCCGAGTTCAATCCCCAACACAAGAAAGACAACTAAGCTACCCACCCACCACCACCAAAAGAAAGAAGGGATACAAAGAAATAAAGGAACTAAAGAGATACAGTGAAGATTAGTGCTGTAACAGGCAAGCCAAAAAACTCACAGGACTAAAAGCTACTGAAGTCAGAGAAGTCACAGGAGAGGGGACATTGAACTCCACCTTAAAGGGCAAGGCAGAGGGAAGAAGGGAGGCATCCCAACCTCAGGCCATACACGAGGAGACAGCATGTGGAGGAGCATGGCTGCGGGGAGATGCTGTCGGCAGAGAACAGCTAGCAGCACAAACTATCAGGAGAGGGACTGAGCTGCAAGGTAGCTGGGGGACAGTAACAGACCCCAACTGAGACACTGGGTTCCTAATGGGACTCAGAGGTCACATTTCCTTCCCCTCTCAGGGTGGGTGTGTTCTTGACATCTTTTCTGCCTACCCACAACTCTTTAGGGAGTCAGCTTTCCCTCAGTAAATTCGTCCTGGGACCACGTGATGCCATACCGGTCCCGGAGCTCAGCCTTCTCCAGATCCCCTTGGCTCTTCAGCTGTCTCAACTCCTGGCTCTTCTCGTGGGCTTCCTTCTCCAGCGCCTGGGTCTTAGCTACTAGCAGTAGCAGCTGGGCCGGCTCACTCTCCTCGGTTCTCCCAGAGCCACTGGATTCACGAGACTGAGCTCTCACGGTCATGCGCAGACAACAGGTCAGCAGGGACCCCGAAAGCCTGGCATGTTCAGCCTTTAGCTCTGTCAGATCTCTGAGCACAGGAAGGAACAATGAAGACTCCAAGGAAGCAAGGGAGAGAGCTGGGCCACAAGGCCCAGCAAGCCTAAGGGGCAGGTCTGAGAGGGTCATCTGTATCTAGTAACAGCAGCTCACCCTCTTAGCCCATGCCTACTGCCCCCAGATCCTCTCCTACAGAGCCTGCTGCCTTATGTCCAGCTCAGCTCTTCTCATTCCCATACTGACCTGTCAGTAGCTGACTTCATTTTCAGGAAGTGACGTCGGAAGGTCACCACCTCACGCCACAGACTGAGCAGACGGCCATGTTCACCTTTCAAATAGCCCTTGAAGAACTGTGTTCAGAAACCCCAAGTCATACCCAAGGGCAGGGGACCCTGCAGCAACACAAGAGTCCTAGATTCTTTATGGCTGCTGCGTGAAGGTGACGGAAGGGAAGGACTTCGAGGAGACAGCTTATGAATGGGTGTCTACATTCAGGCTACACCAAAGGGCTTGCTAAAGTTGGCAGTGAGGTTCAAGAGGTTAAAGGGCCCTGTGTGAAAAATGGCCTTCCACTTGGCCAGAACAGAAAAGGACATGCAGTGGCAGCTTGGCAAATGGGAGTTATTACCATTGGCAGGAGAACTGGGTATCTAATACATGTAAATCACCCAGACCCAGCACCCAGCAAGGGTTCAGGAAACATTTGCCGTCTATAGCTGTGACTGAAAAATTTCCCAAGGTCCATAACTATGTTTTCTCTTCCATTTAATCCAGCAGCTACCTTTTTAGCATCTAGCTAGGCAGACCTCCAGACAAGGGCAATCAGTAAGTTTTCAGATTCATTTGAAAGCTAGGCTACTCGCGTTTGCAAGAGCTGAGTGTTCTGCTACCTGCCAGCAAAGCCCAGAGTAGGCAGAACTAGGAAGAAAGCTGAAACAGGGCACAGCTGTCAGCCTGGGCAGGCTAAGCAGAGGCTGGAACAATGACAGATCAGTTTCCACCCAGGTCTAAGAGTTAACCCTTTCCAGCGCTGCCTAGAATAGCACCCAGAGTGCACACACCACTCCTGTTTCCCGTACCTCCTGCTCCATCCGCCACTGGCTCTCTTTCCTCACTAGCTCGTCCCGGGCCCGACTCCAGTCCACTGTCAATTTCTCCACATCTTCCTGAAGGGCCTTATTCACCACATCGGCTTTCTCCATGTGCAGCCGAAGCTCCGTGTTCACTTCCACTAGACTCTCACACCTGCACTGGGAATTGAGAAGAGCAAGGACGAAATAAAGGTCTGGTCCCACCCTCGCTCCTGGGATTAAGACAGTGAACACAACTTTCCATCACCAGGAACCAGAGGACTGGAATCCTGTTTGCCCTCAGAACACAAGGTTCCCAAGCGCCCTTTTCCTCCCTCCCTCTCTTTTTGCTTTCTGCCTGCCCTACTACCCACATGAACCACCACGCCCAGCATTTTCCACCACATGGTCAGCCTTTCCACCCTCTGCATGACCAGTCAGCTCAGGAAGGCTGGGGTCCATCACCTCTGCTGCTCCTCCTCCAGCCGGACCAGCAGCTGTTCCAGGTTTGGCTCTTCTGCACCTTCCCACCGCTGAGGGATCAGTCCCTTAAGAGACAGAGACAGGCCTTAGAATACCACACAAAAACATCACCCAAGACAATTCCCTGATGCCTTCTTCGACAGCAGCCCACTTCCTTTCTTATTCTTTCTCTTGGGAGCAATTTGCTTCTTTTCTCAGTCACTGTCATGAAAGCAAACACACTGCACTCCTTCTCCAGAGTGAACCAATCCCCAGCCCTAAAAGATGGAACTTATGGCAAACGGCACCTAACCCGAGGAGCGTAAGCTGCATGTTTCACTATGGCCCTAACTTCTAGTCCACTGATTTGGACCTCGGGAAGTTACTCATCGTCTCCAGACCACAAAGCGAAGGTGGCTGTCATTCTTCTCAGAGAGTCTGCAAGCCCCGTGACACAATACAAAATGCCTAGTGGTGCCCTGGCCTGCACAGAAGGTGCTCAACACATTCTGGTTTTCCTTCTTCTGAGACGTTTACTAGAGGGAATGAGGAGAAGCCTAAGAAAGCTGGAACAGAGAGTGACATAAGGGTCTTTCAAAGCCAGTCCTACCCAGGGAACAAACATATCCCTCTACTGCAGGCACACTTAGAGGCATGCAGAGGCGTGCATCTTCCTAACGTATAAACACTGACCCCTGCTGGGTGAAAAATGAATTTCCCTTATGAGTCTACATGCCCATTCGACTATGTTAAGTCCCCAGAATCTGCATTTATAAAAGGAAAACCATGGGATGGAATTTCTCAGGGGAAGTCCAGAACTCAACCTCACTTACTCCGGTGGCTTCTAGGCGCTTCTCCAGCTCTTGACACCAGCTCCGGTACTGTAAAACCTAAAGCAAAAAGAGCAGGCCCTGAGCACGTGTGTAAACAACACAAGCCAAGGCTCCAGGGTTCGTGGGCAAATCTGCTGTGAACACGGGAAGCGGGTGGTGACGGTGAAGTATCTTAACAGTATCCAGCTGAGTGTTTAAATAATACTTTCCGGGGAGGTGGCTCCGTGGGGAAGCACTTGCTGTGCAAGCATCCTAACGCCTGAACTCAGATCCCCGGAACTCAAGTACAGCCAGATGTGTAGTGTGTGTCTCTGGGCGAGCACTCCTTTGGCAAGACAGGAGGCAGAGACAGGAGCATCTCCGGAGCTCACTGGATAGTTCACCTGAGGCACACTGTGGCAAACAAAGAGACCCTCTCTCAGCAGGGTAGAAGCATGGTGGACACCTGGAGATGGCCCCTGACCTCGACCCGTGTCAGGTGTGTGCATGCTTACACTCCCCCACTTACACAAGGACTTTTTTCTTTTTTGAAATCAATATTTCCAAGGGGCTGGTGAGATAGCTTGGTCAGTAAAATGTGCCTGTTGGTGGTGGCACACGCCTTTAATTCCAGCTCAGGAGGCAGAGGCAGGTGGATCTCTGAGTTTGAGGCCAGCCTGGTCTACAGAGTTAGTTCTAGGGCATCCAAAGCTACACAGAGAAACCCTAACTCAAAAGTAAAATAAATAAATAAATCAAAAGTAAAATGCTTACTGTGCAAGCATCAAGACCCAAGTTCAGATCCCCAGCATAAAAAGCCACCATCCCAGTGCTGAGGCAGCAGATTCCCTGGAGCTCCCTGGCCAGCCGGCCTGCAGAATCTATGAGCTCCAGTTCAGAGAGAGACCCTGTCCTAAAAATGTGGTGGAGGTTGAAGACAGATCAGTGCTTAAAAGCTTGCTGTTGGGGGCTGGAGAGATGGCTCAGAGGTTAAGAGTACTGGCTGCTCTTCCAGAGGTCCTGAGTTCAATTCCCAGCAACCACATGGTGGCTCACAACCATCTGTACTGAGATCTGGTGCCCTGTTCTGGCGTGCGGGCATACATGGAGGCAGAATGTTGTATACATAATAAATAAATAAATATTAAAAAAAAAAAGCTTGCTGTTCTTTCAGAGGATCCAAATTTGGTGCCCAGCACCCAGCACCATGCATGGCTCACAACTGCCTGTAACTCCAGCCCCCAAGGGCATCAACACACACGATACACTTACACAGACATATGCATACAATACACAATAGCGTGAAGAGTGATAGACAAGGATACCCAACAGTGACCCCTTGTTTCCGTATTCACTCACACTTATTTTCTATATGCCTTGTAGACTGAGTTTGGGCTTAGTTCTAGACTAGCAGGTCTCATCCTGTGGGTCGTGACCCCCGTGACAGAGTCAAACAACCCTTTCACAAAGGTCACCTAAGACCATCAGAAAACACAGATATTTGCAAAAATACAGTTATGAAGTAGCATAGAAAACAAGTTTATGGTTGGGGTCGCCACAACACGAGGAGCTGTATTAAAAGGGTTTCAGCATTAGAAAGGCTGAGGGCCATTGCTCTAGTCTAACAGAACAAACCTAGACAACTAATTATTGTGAATGTCAGATTGAAAGGAACACAAACCAACTTCCTGGCATAGTGTGACCATCAGAGGAGAGGCTATGGTTGAAAGGTGAATATCTGGGCCCTTCTCACCAGGATGTTTGGTCCATTCCCCTCCACGGTCTCTCCCTCATCCAGCCCTCACCCCACTCTGGCACTTAACTTGGTGTGGGGCTTTGTTTTCCCTTCCCCAGAGGGGCAGCTGCCTCACCTTGGCTTGCAGCTTTCTCACAAGGGTGGCTTGCCTCTTCTGGGCATCTTGGGAGTTCTTCAGCTTCCTCCAGGAGGCGGCCTGGTTCTCTGCCATTTGCTGCTGCAGTGCCAGCACCTGCTCCTCTAGCACCAGCTGCAATGGCTGGGGCTTCATGTTCAACCTGGGGCTTCCTGTCTCCATGCGAGCATCCGAGAACAGACTCACAGTTCCTATGTGGCTACAGATTGCTTGCAGCAGGGAGTCTAACCATTGATCTATGTGTCTTAGATCTCCTCTTGAGCTAGAGACCAAAACATACAAGAAAATCGAAAAGGCTAGGTTTCTCAAAATTACTCAGCAAACATTAAGTGGGGTGAATCTGGCTGAATGAAGTAAATAAGTTCCTTTATTACAGGACTCCTCAGAGCTTCCTTTTTAAATATTTATTTTTATGTGCGTTGAGTGTTTTGCCAGAATGCACTTATATGCATCATGTGTGGTCTTGGTACCTGAAGAGGCCAAAAAGAACATCAATACCCAGGAACTGGAGTTACAGATGGTTGTGAGCTACCATGTGGGTACTGGGAACTAAAACCGTGTCCTCTGCAAGATCAGCAAGTGCTCTTAACCAACGAGCCACCTCTCCAGTCCCCTCTTCAGAACTTTGAAAAGACTAGGATGGACCCTACCCTTTAAGAGGAGCTATGATGGGCACTGTCAGAGGACTCCCGCTTCCATGTGTGCCTTTGGGACCCAACCTGAAGCTAAGAGCCCCGGCTATGCCACTGCACCCTCTGTCCGACACATGGCCCACAGCAATCTGTAGAATCAATCGTGAAGGTGCTGTCAGTTTGGCAAAGGCGAAGACACAACAATTAAATTCAATGTGGCATGTGCACACACAAAAGTTTCTAGAACGCCAAATCTTTTTCATGTACCAGAATATGAGTACGTCATGGCTCAGTCTACCTCCTACCTGCCCACCCAGATGAAGCCTTGAAGACGTCAAATTTTGACAGTTATACATGTGTATGTGTGCACATACACACTCACAGTCTCCTGCTCACATACACATTTAACTGTATTCAAAAATAGGTGTTCTAATGTCTATGCTACCTTTTGAGACAGGCTTTCTCTGATTGGCCCTGGTTGTCTCCCACGTGCTGGGATTAAAGGAGTGCACCACCACTGTCTGCCCGTCTTTGCCATCAGCAATTGTCTGTCTTTGCTACCAAAGTGTGAGTGTCTCAACAGTAACAACTGTCCAGTTCACTTTAGCCACAGCCAGTTGTCAGTCATACACACTAAAGAAACGTGTATGGGCCCCACTCTCGGCAGGCCTCAACCTTAGTCCAACGGTTATAAATTTAGTGTCCTGCAGGCTCTTTCTCTCTCTCTTTTTCTCTTCTTCTTTCTTTTATTTTTAGATAGGGTTTCATACAGCCCAAGTTGGCCTGAAACTTGTATGTAGCTGAAGATGACTTCAAACTCCTGACTCTCCTGCCTCTACCTCCCAAGTGTTGTAATTATAGGTGTGTGCTACTATTCCATAAAAATTTAAAAAATTCAAAAACAGATGCCAACATTCATGATCGAAAGGACGCACACACAATAAGCCTTTCTGGCTCTTCTGAATAACCAGGCTACTAACAATCAAGGCCATGACCCGAGATCTCCTGCCTCTCCATCATCTAAAGACTGAGGGTTGGGGCTGGAGAGATGGCTCAGTGATTAAGAGCACCGGCTGCTCTTCCAGAGGTCCTGAGTTCAATTCCCAGCAACCACATGGTGGCTCACAACCATCTGTAATGAGATCTGGTGCCCTCTTCTAGTGTGTGGGCATACATGGAGGCAGAATGTTGTATACACAATAAATAAATAAATAAATAAATAAATAAATAAATAAGACTGAGGGTTCCAGGGCTCAGCCCTGAGTCTCTCTATACACTCACTTCCTAGGTAGCACTGACGACTATCTCCATTAGCTAAAATTGGTGCGTTCTGCATTCAAATACAAGACCCTGACTCAACATATAAGGTGGAATAAAATCAGGGGAGACACTCAATATTAATCTCTGCTCCTGCACAGTGAACGTGGATATGCACCTGCACATACACTACACACATAAAACAAGAACAGAAAAAGAAAACAACAACAACAAAAAAAAACCCACCCAACTACTATCCTCACCACTACCACCACCGAAAATGAGAGGAGCCTAATTTGGCTGTAGTACAGCTTGGGCAGTCAGGAGGTCAAGCAGAAGGATCTAGTGGTTAAAGTCATTTTCAGTTATATAGTGAGTTCAAGGTTAACCTGGTTACATCAAATCAAGTCTAAAATTAAAATGGGAAACCAACTTTTCTCTTTGAGTGTAGTATGACTAAAGTAGAAACGACTAACACTAGACAGTGGCTCATCAGCCAAGAGCACTTGATGTTCTTGCAGAAGACCAGCGTTCAGTCTCAGCCCCCAGATGGTGGAGTTACCATCTGTAACTCCAGCGCCCGGGGCTCCAACACCCTTTTCTGACTTCTGAGGACATATATGTAATGCGCATACATACGTGCAGGCAAAACATCCATACACGTAAAATAATAAAATAAATCTTTAAAAAATGTTTAAGTAATGCCGGGTAGTTGTAGTGCACACCTTTAATCCCAGCACTTGGGAGGCAGAGGCAGGCGGATCTCTCTGATTTTGAAGCTAGCCTGGTCTACAAGAGCTAGTTCTGGGACAGGCTCCAAAGCTACAGAGAAACCCTGTCTTGAAAATCAACCAACCAACCAACCAACCAAACAAACAAACAAACAAAAGAATGTTTAAGTAGAAATGCCTTCTGAGATGAGCTCACAGAAGGCACTGTGGCTTGTTGCTCGCTTACTCTTCTGAACAACTCTCTGGAGAAAAACCTGCTCTGTCCTGAGGACACACAAGTACCTCTGAGGAGGCCCAGGAGAAAGCATTGGGAGTTCTGCCAACAGCCTTGTGAGTGAGGCATCTTGGAAGCAGATTTTCCAGCCTCTGGTTGAAACCTCAGATCACTGTCAGCCTTGCCTGTGTCTCCTAAGCCAGAAACACTAGCTAATCTGCTCCAACTTCCGACCCACAGTGGCTGTGTGAGACCATAAACAACTGCCCCTTAATACCAAACTCAGGATAATTCCTTGTAACTGGAGCACGGCCAAAGCTTCCTCGGTGCTCGTGATACCTCCTAAAGTCTGTCTTGTTTTGCTTTTCCTCAACAGAACAGTTACAGGATCCTTTTAAAAACACAACAGGGCTGCTGAGGTGTCTCGGGGAGTAAAAGTACTTGTTACCATCCCGACGGCCTGAATTCAGTCCACAGAACCCAGAGTGGAAGGAGAGAATTGCCCCATAAAGTTGTTCTCTAACCTCTACCCGAGAACTGTAGCACACACTTGCACACACACAAGCACACAAAATAAAACAAACAAACAAAACATAAGCAGCCAAGCATGGTGGGACATGCCTAAAATCCTGGCACTTGTGAGGTTGAGGCAGAAGGAGTGTCAAAGTTAGAGTCTTCCATGGACTACGTAGTAAGTTTGAAGGCAGCCTGGGCTACACATAGACCCCCTGTCTCAAAAAACAAAACCCCCCAAACCCTAGGTAACAGTCAACTACAGTTAAAGATCTTTATAATCGTCCGTAGAGTCCTAATTGACCCATCTTAGCCAAATGAATTAATCCTCTCTCACCTCCTTGGCCATGCCTCCGACCACATAGCCAGCCACCCTCCTGTGCTTAGAACACAGCAGGAGCCGCGCTCATGTATTAGTGAAACCTCTAACCAGGTCTCCGATCAACTGTCACTTTTTTAGTAAGCTGTGTCGTGTAAAGTGACACCACTCCCAGACACAAGCACTGGCAATTCTACTTACCATGTCTAGCAGCCTCTAATTATTATGTGCAACAACTTACAAAATGTAAACCCCGCCAGTACAGGAATACTGTTTTCTCTTTGCTTGAGACGGTGTCTTGCTACAGTGGCTCAGGCTGACCTAGAACTCGTGAATCTAGTTTCTGCCTTCCAAGTACTTAGATTACAAATGTGTACCGTCACCCCAGCTAACATCACTTCACTAAATGCTGTATTCCAAGCTCCTAAAATAGACCTGGTGTGTATGAAGTGCCCAATAAACCTGACTGGCTGATAGCTAACATTAAGTAACATGATCCTCATGTTTTACAAAGTGTTGGCAGCTCCATAACCATTCATAAAGCAAAAGTAAGATCATGTATAGTGTGTACAGTGTTTAACTCTCAAAATAATCAGTTGCAACCTTCATTATCAAAAAAAAGAACACAAACACCAAAAACAAACAAACAAACAAAAAACCTTAGCAGTATAGGATTACTGTCTCAGCTGGGCAGTGGTGGATCATCCTTTAATGCCAGCACTTGTGAGGCAGAGGCAGGAGCATCTCTGAGAATTTGAGGTCACCCTGGCTACAAAATGAGTTTCAGGATAGCCAGAGCTGTGATACAAAGAAACCTTGTCTTGAAAAAAAAAATTACTATCCTCATTTTACAATCAAGAAAACTAAGATTCAGGGCTCCACAATTAGGAAGACTTGTTCTTGAAGAGCTGGGTTCCATTCTTAACACTCACTAGTGACTAACAACCATCTGCAAGTCCAGCTCCAGAGGGCTTGAGGTCCTCTTCTGACTTCTGATGGCACCAGGCACACAGATGGTGCGCATACATACATGTAGGCAAAGCACTCATACATACAAAATAAAAATAAATAAAATCCTGAAGAAGAAGAAGAAGAAGAAGAAGAAGAAGAAGAAGAAGAAGAAGAAAGAATGGAGGAAAACCAGTGTTTTAAAAAATGTTAGTGTGAGCGGGTATCATAGCCCATGTCTTTAATCTCAGCACTCATGAGGCAGAAACAGGTGGATTTCTAAGTTTGAGGCCAGTCAGGTCTACAAGAATGAGTTCCAGGACAGCCAGAGCTACGTGGAGACACTGTCTCAAAAAACAAACAAACAATGAAACAAAGCAAAACAAAACAAAATACGGAAGTATGAAGGAGATGGTTCTTTTTTTTTTTTTTTTTTTTTTTTTTGGTTTTTCGAGACAGGGTTTCTCTGTGGTTTTGGAGCCTGTCCTGGAACTAGCTCTTGTAGACCAGGCTGGTCTCGAACTCACAGAGATCCGCCTGCCTCTGCCTCCCGAGTGCTGGGATTAAAGGCGTGCGCCACCACCGCCCGGCAGGAGATGGTTCTTTGGTTAAGAGCCATATTGATCTTGCAGGGGATCCAAATCCAATTTTCATCGCCCACTCTGGGCAGCTGACAGCTGCCTCTAACTCCAGCTCCAGATCTAAGGCCTCAGAGTTCACGTGCACCCCACATACAAAATTAAAAGTGAATATGATTTTTAGATGGAAAGTGAAATGGGAGCATGGCTCAGCAGGGAAAGGGAGGCCTGATGACTCGAGTGTGACCCCCCATGAAGGTGGAAGGAGGCCCCAACTCCTCAAAGCTGTCTTCTAGCCTCCCTGTGTACATCAGGGCACAACTCCACACACACACACACCTTTTTTTTTTTTTTAAGGAAGAAACACAACTAGTTAGTGGCAAAGTAGAAACCAAATTCTAATCTGATTCCAGATTCTACACTCATCTCATTAGCTGTCAAAGCCAAAAATTAAAATCACAGCCCCACGGAGCATTTCCCAATGGGGCAGGAAGCGATGGCATCCATGTCTAAAGCTTTCTGGAGTTGAAGGAGCAAAGTACAGAAGAATGTTCCTGGAAGAACACGGGCTGTCAGTGTATCAGTAGGACAACCCAGATCTCATCTTGATTATTTTTGTTATGAATTCTATTGATCTGGTAAGATCAATTCTCCTTTATAAGCCTTCTCAGCGCCTGGCCTTGGATGTCCAAGACCTGAAATCTCAGCTTCTAAGGAGGCCAAGACAAGACGACATCAAGTTCAAATCAAGCCTTGGTAAATTGGTAACACCTTGTCTCAAAATAAAAAAGTAAAAAGAGGGCTTGGATTAGCTCAGTGGCAGAACACTGGTCAGCACGCAAAAGACCCTAGGTCCAATTCCCATTACAAAAGCCCTTTTAGTAAAATGTGAATTTTAACCCTGGCCTCCGTATCTTACTGGCTAAAGTAAAAACAGCAACTCAAAGACAATCTAGTTAAGTTATCAATCATTTACATTGGCAGATTCTAGCTCTAACTTGATTTATGAGGGCTTATTTCTTCATGCATAAAATGTGAACAAATGGAACCCACATCGTAGATCGCTGCGTGAATTAACGGGGCCTTTGCAGGTAACGCATTTAGCAGAGCTGTCATCTTGTGACCATTCAGTAACTTTACTATCATCGTGGGACACAGAGCTGAAAAAAAGACATGACTTCTAATAAACAAGCCCCAAACATGAGCCAGGGGAAGAACATTGACTTGAGCAAAGATGGCAAAACCCAAGAATCGAGATTAGCTGTGCCTGGAGCAGGCCTCTAGGAAAGATTCTGAAGAAGTGAGGAAGTGGTCTTCGAGCTGGGTCCTGAGGAATTAGGAATCTGAGAGGGAGCAGAGGACTGGGACCGGACTTTCAAGGGGTAGATCACGTGCAAAGCCTAAGGGGCACAGGGCGCTGCGAAGCTCGGGGGAGCATGAAGTGAGATCTGCAGGGAACGCAGCGTCTTAGCCGGTTAGCCCTGGCTACGGCTGTGGGCCACCCTGGGGTGCAGTTCTCCGGAGCTGTGGCTGCAGCAGGGAGCTCAGGCAGGCAGGCCTGGACCCCTGCCCAGCCGCTGCCCAGGCGAGATTCCCGCGGGCACCCGGGCTCTGGACCGTTAGACTCGGCACCTCCCGCCTGCCCCAGACCCACCTCTGCAGCGCCGGTCCCCGGGAATCCCCGAGTGCTCCTCAGCAACCGCAGAAGCGAAACAGCAACCCGGCGGCCAGGCCCGGGGCGGCCCTCAGCCCGGCGGCCAGGCCCCGCCCCCCAAACTCCCGCCCTTTCTTGGGGGACGGCCCAGCGGAGCCGAGCGCCGGGAGCCGGCGCGCCGAGGCTGCGCCTCTCGCCATATTAGGTACTGGCAGCCAACTTCCTAAAGAGTCTCAAAAAGGAAAAGGGGGTATAGTGAGACACACGAGCGCTCTCCAGAAATAGACACAGCCACAGTGTCTGGATTCTAGCACTGAACGTTCAGAGGGGAGAAGAAACACCCGCTCTCCGACTTCCGCCCGCGGCTTCAGAGTTAAATAACGCGCACGCGTAAAACCAAGATCTAGGGGCACCTGCGCACTGTTGCACTAACAGTAGTGACTGCGTGAGAGGGTCTAGTTGTGGTTAAGTCTGGGCGAGCGACTCAACTTTCCATCTTTCCGGGTCCTCCACGCAGCCTCGGGCAACACAGCATCTACAAACAACTTAGTGTCGTTTGGAATACTCGGTACTCCACAAGCCTTTGCACAGTATTGCTTTGCTGGAACGGTTTAAATGCCAGGAGGGCTGCAGTTTGTCCAGTTATGACTGCCTCTAGACGTCTGCTTTCCGCTTTTTTCTTAGCGTAGAAATTTCATTTGTCTGACTCCTGGTTGTCTCTAGTTTTAGTCGAGACAAAGGTCTGGAAAAAAAACAAAACAAAAAACCAGATGATTTTTCTCTATGGGCACTACATGAGACTGACCTTGAGGATACAGGGCCATCTTTGAGCATCTCTGACTCTAGCATCCAGTACAAGGGCTGGCACAACAGCAAGTGTTGAGAGAACCAGTGTACAAACTGTGTGTACTCAACAGAAGTCGGCTGGGCGGTGGTGGCACACGCTTAATCCCAGCACTCAGGAGGCAGAGGTAGGCAGATCTCTGGTTGGAGGTCAGCCTGGTCTACAGAGAGTTCTAGGACAGCCAGGGCTACACAGAGAAACCCTGTCTTGAGAAACGGAGAGAGAACACACAAAGGGACTCCGTTAAGCACCTCACAGCTTTTTATGTGATTTGAGTGATTTTGTTGGAACGAAGGTCCATGCTTGGGGACAAGCATCTGTGATGCCATCTATTCTAATCTCTTATATAAGAACCTTTTGTTCAGGCTAACCAACCCAATTATAAAATGGGGCATTGAGGTGAACAGAGAATTCTCAACAGAAGAACTTCAAATGGCCAAAAGACACTTAAGGTCATGCTCAACTTCCTTAGCGATCAGGGAAATGCAAATCAAGACAACTTTAAGATACCATCTTACACCTGTCAGAATGGCGAAAATCAAAAACACCAATGATAGCCTTTGTTGGAGAGGTTGTGGAGAAAGGGGTACACTCATCCATTGCTGGTGGGAATGCAAACTTGTGCAACCACTTTGGAAAGCAGTGTGGCGGTTTCTCAGGAAATTCGGGATCAACCTACTGGACCCAGCAATACCACTCTTGGGAATATACCCAAGAGAGGCCTTATCATACAACAAAAGTATATGCTCTACTATGTTCATAGCAGCATTGTTTGTCATAGCCAGAACCTGGAAACAACCTAGATGCCCTTCAATGGAAGAATGGATGAAGAAAGTATGGAATATATACATATTAGAGTATTATTCAGCAGTAAGAAACAAGGACTTCTTGAATTTTGCATACAAATGGATGGAAATAGAAAACACTATCCTGAGTGAGGTAAGCCAGACACAAAAAGAGGAACATGGGATGTACTCACTCATATTTGGTTTCTAGCCATAAACCAAGGACATTGAGCCTATAATTAGTGATCCTAGAGAAGCTAAATAAGGAGAACCCAAAGAAAAACATATAGGCATCCTCCTGAATATTAACCTTCAGCAAGCGATGAAAGGAGACAGAGACAGAGACCCACATTGGAGCACAGGACTGAATTCTCAAGGTCCAAATCAGGAGCAGAAGGAGAGAGAGCACGAGCAAGGAACTCAGGTCCGTGAGGGGTGCACCCACACACTGAGACAATGGGGATGTTCTACTGGGAACTCACCAAGACCAGCTGGCCTGGGTCTGGAAAAGCCTGGGATAAAACCGGACTCTCTGAACATAATGGACAATGAGGACTACTGAGAACTCAAGAACAATGGCACTGGGTTTCTGATCCTACTGCACGTACTGGCTTTGTAGGAGCCTAGGCAGTTTGGATGCTCACCTTACTAGACCTGGATGGAGGTGGGGGGTTCCTTGGACTTCCCACAGGACAGGGAACCCTGATTGCTTTTCGGGCTGAGGGGGGGGGACTTAATTAGGGGAGGGGGAGGGAAATGGGAGGCGGTGGCTGGGAAGAGACAGAAATCTTTAATAAATAAATAAATTTAAAAAAAAAAAGAACCTTTTGCTTGTCTGGGTTTTTTTGTTTTGTTTTGGTATTTTTTTTGATTTTGATTTAGGGTTTTTCCTTTGAGTCCTGGCTGTTTTTTTATTTTGTTTTGAGCCTGTACTGGAACTAGCTCTTATAGACCAGGCTGGGCTTGAACTCACAGAGATCCACTTGCCTCTGCCTCCCAAGTGCTGGGATTAAAGGCGTACACCACCAACGCCCTGGGAGTCCTGGCTGTTCTGTAACTCACTCTGTAGTTCAGGCTGGCCTCGAACTCTGGGATCCACCTGCCTATGCCTCCTGAGTACTGGGATTAAAGGCGTGTGTCCACACTGTCCAGCTCAACCCTGTTTATTACATTGGATTTAATTGTTTTATGTGTATATGTGTATGAATGTACACATGCGAAGGCCAGAAAAGACAGTGCTAGAGTCGGTTTTCTCCTTTCAGTCTGTGGGTTCCAGAGAGCAAGCTGGGGTCATCCGGCTCTGTGGTAAATGCCTTTACCTTCTGAGCTATCTTGCAGGCCCTTTAATGGTTATTGGGGAGGGGGTGAAGTAGCGAAAAACCAAATGGTTCTGAAAAACAAGCTGTGTAGAGCAGGAAGAAGAGGCACCTTCGACCAAGAGAGAGCTGCAAAGAATTGGTGAGGACTCATCCCAGAAAAGCAATCCCTCAAGCCCCGTGGAAGCATGTTCTCCATTGCTGCATTTGGAATGAAGATAAACAAACCAACCTGTTAGACATACCCGATCTTTTCTACCTCTAGGCCTTTTAATATATTTTGCCCTTGACCTAAACCACTACTCCCCCCTCTTTCTCTCAGCTGTTGGCTTAACTGGCATTCATTCATATAGTATTTTACTATGTAGCCCTGGCTGTCCTGGAACTCGCTCTGTAGACCAGGCTAGCCTTGAACTCACTCACAGAGATCTGCCTGCCTCTGCCTCCCGAGTGCTAGCATTAAAGGCGTGCACTACCAGGCTGTCTCCTTTTCTAAAGGTTCCCTCAGCATGATTTCTGCTGTGAAATTCGAGCAGCTGAGATGGATAAGAGTTGAGCCTACATAAGCTTGAACATCTGTGTCCTGGGCGCCTATGGTAGAAGAAGGTACTGACTCCCAAAAGTTGCCTTCTGACCTCTGCACATATGTCAAGTCACATGTGCACCTCTGCATGTGTGAGCACGCACACACACACACACAAGCCCTAATAAAATAATTTTTTTTTTTGGTTTTTTGAGACAGGGTTTCTCTGTGGTTTTGGAGTCTGTCCTGGAACTAGCTCTTGTAGACCAGGCTGGTCTCGAACTCACAGAGATCCGCCTGCCTCTGCCTCCCGAGTGCTGGGATTAAAGGCATGCGCCACCACCGCCCGGCTAAAATAATTTTTGAAAAGTAAGACCCTATATTTTCCATCATGGTTCTTTGTTTCTTTTATAGTAATTCTATTTTTTATTTGCTGACTTACTATTTTCATACTTTTCCCCTATGAAATTTAAGCTTCATGAAGTTATGAGCATGAGTTATTCTGAGGGTTTCTTATATAGTTTGACAAGTGTGTGTTAAATATTTTCTTAGCTAACAGATCTCTCCGCTGACTCAAATAATCCCAATCAGACCAAATCAGACCGAATTAAAAGATGCCCATATTTAATGGATGACAATACTCTCGAGTGGCCCCAGGAAAACATGGAGAGAGGAAGAAAGAGAAGGGGAGACCACAGGGAACCCGGAGACCACATGTTCATTCTTTGGGGGAGCAGTTTAAATAGCCTGTGGAAGTGGTCCCGATCTTCCCTGGGGAGGGGTCATCATTTGGCCGGGTTTTTGTGCCCCTCCATGGGGAGGGGTCACTTTTTGGCAGGCTTTCTCAGAGGTGGGGTTTGGACAGAGACAACTCTTATGCCAGAAGCTGGGGTGAAGTCCCCAGGCAAACAATCCAGACTTTTTGTGTAAAGGGGTGCTGGGGAGCTGAGGTGACCCTTCCGACCAAACAGTGTTTTTTAATAAGTATCCATTGACCTGAGTAAGTCAAATCATCCTTAGGATTAAAAAATTACTGAGACGAAAGTCCACCAGCAGGTGCTGGGAGTGTGGCTCAGTTTATTGTGCCTGCCTAGCATTCGTGAAGCCCTGGGTCTGATGGAACTGGGCATGGTGGACAGTCCTGTATCCCAGCATGTGAGAAGTGCAGGCAAGAAGATCAGAAGTTCAAAGTCATTCCCAGCCACTCAGAGTCACTCTCAGCTACATAAAGAGTTTCAAAGGAGCCTGGACTATGTGAGATCCTGTTTCAATAACCAAAAATTAAAACAGAAAATCCATCAGCAAACTGCCAGCCTACTTTAGGGAATAGACATAGGTTTCAATCACCAAAATATAACACTAAAAGGGGTCATTGAAGTAGAAAATCAATACTGAACAGTAATCATTAATCATTGACCCTTGTAAAGGGGGATCATTCATGTCCTTACTATTTTATCCATTTACGCAGCAGGCTCTTTATTGGACAGTTGTTATGTTTTGCTATCAGATGATAACACAATGTGTTAACAACCTGTTGGAAATTCTATGAAAATACAATAAAGTGATACCACCGGGAACTACCTGGGCCAGAGCAGAAAGTGGAGTTGCTGATGTAAAATCATGGGTGACCCTGTCCCTCGGGGATTGGTAG